CCACCTGGCCTGTGGGCGTCCTACACTACTACTACAACTTTCGATCTCACAAATATCATAAAAGGTATTTTCTAAAGAAATGTACATACATACACTTGAAGAACATAGAACCCTCTTTCAGGGGCAGTCGAGTAAAAACTAATTATTTTTAAATCTGAAACTGTCTGGATAAAGATTCTGGTCTTATACTCTTATTATCTATATCTATAAAAGAAGAAACTGACAGACTGATATGCTGATTAATCGATCAACGCACAGCTAAAACACCTTTGTATAGAAGCATGAAATTTTGCACAAATGTTCCTTAGATGGGCCATAAGGTGTGCACTATGAAAGGATTTTTTTAAATTCCTCCCCTAAGGGTGTAAAATGGGGGTTGGAAATTTATATGAAACCTCGTAATTTTTGGTAGTAGCGTTTTCTAACTCACAGTAAATACTCGTTATTAGAAGTATTAAAAAAGGTTGTTAATTTTTTTTAAATAACCTTTAAAAAGGGGTGCAAGTTTGTATGGAGAATATACCTATAATCTTCTCATTGTATCCTCTACGATGTCTGATTTAGACCACCACGCGGACGAAGTCGCGGGCAAAAGCTAGTTCCTGTTTAAGCACATTGTATTTACTAGTTAAGGATCTTTGATCTCGGTCATAACTTTTCATACACGTATTTAGTACATTCGCCATACGAGCAACTCGTGTATTTGTGTTAACAATTTACATAAAAAAATCAAATCTCAGATTATGTGAACTTTCACTTTGCATAAAAAATTTGGTCATGCTGCCTGCGAAAGTTTACATTCAATACAATATCACTACAATAAAAGGCGACGCGCCTGTTGGTCTAGTGATTAGTGACCCTGACTGCTAAGCCCGAGGTCGTGGGTTTGATTCCCACACAGGACAAATAATTATGTGATGAGCATGATGATTTGTTCTGTGTCTGGGTGTAATTTATCTATGATATGTATGTATTTATAAATATATAAGTGTGTTTATCAGCAGTCTGGTTACACTATACAGCTATTACATATACAGCAAAAAAAATATTAAAAATCAATTTTTCGATAATCCATAAAAGGATTAAATTGAATTCTGAAATGGTTTCATCCAAAAAGAGAATCAGTCTGTCATTCTTCCTGGAAAACTTCTGTTCACACAATGAAGTTGACAAACTAAAATTCAAACTACAAAATGGCAAACTGTTACTGGTGCTCCAAACTTTTTACCCAGGACTTAATTATATAGACATTCATTACTACAGAAGCAACAGCATATATGCTAGCAGTAAACCACGATTTTCTGATTTTCGAAATTTTATTTCTGGAATTTATTTTGATAAGGATTACAGTATCTTTCTTCTTTTTATCGGTCAAGATTTCAGGTGCAAGCTGAGGCATCAAAAGGTCATCAAGGTTTTGAAGGTTTTACTACAACAATGTTAACCATTTCCAACACTATTTACTTAATGGGAAAATCTATTAGACAAAATTACACTAATCCTAGTCCACTGCTAGACATAGGTCTCTCCTTAGAAAGGAGATTTTGGCCTACTATACCACGCTGGCCAGACGGGTTGGTATGGGGTTTGTGTTAAGTTTTCCTTCTTTTTGCAATGCTGTGTCCTGCCTAGTTTACTCCCTTAGTCTGCTCTTACGACACCCACGTGATGAATAGAGGTGGTGACACTCTGTATTCTTACCCCGTCACGGCTGGACCGATTTTGATCATATTTTACTACCATCTGTTTATATAAGGAGTAAATTAGGCTATTTTTCCTCTTAGATAAACCCTTTACAATTTTGCCCAGTTCGGAAATCTAATATTTAATAATCTATATAAAGCAGTGCTTTTCAAATTCCATGGGACCGATTTTGATGTGTGTTTAGAGGTTTACCGTCGTGAGTGAGGCGTCAAAACATCGGTAGGCATACGCTTAAAGCAAGTCGAGTTCACAATCTTTGAGACGATGAGACTGAAAAAGAGCTTAGGCAGCGATTGCAGCGCAAACAGAACGATAATTTCTCAAGCGAGATCTGTCACTACTCCGGAAGATCCTATACCATAGACTTGAAGCCAGGGGCAACAAAACAGACGATCAAACGTAACAATTAACGTTTGCGTTTACATATAATACAAAAATCGATGGATTTTGAAACAATGAGAACTATTTGTCAATATTGTAATACTTTGAGGTTTCAACTCAAACTGCCAGGATTATGGAATGGAAAGGTCAAATTATCACAACTGACAACGCCACCTGAACCACTAAATCCTCCTCCACCAAGAACCTTTATCAAAGCAATTCTTGCAGAATATTTAAAATCACAATAGTGCGTTCCAAATGACATCATTTCATGATCATCAGCCTATCGCAGTCCACTGCTGGACATAGACCTCTGCCGTTGCACGCCACTTAGATCGATTTTGGGCTTCTCGCATCCAGCTCCTTCCAGCCATCTTGCGCAAATCGTCACTCCACCTGGCCTGTGGGCGTCCTACACTACTACTACAACTTTCGATCTCACAAATATCATAAAAGGTATTTTCTAAAGAAATGTACATACATACACTTGAAGAACATAGAACCCTCTTTCAGGGGCAGTCGAGTAAAAACTAATTATTTTTAAATCTGAAACTGTCTGGATAAAGATTCTGGTCTTATACTCTTATTATCTATATCTATAAAAGAAGAAACTGACAGACTGATATGCTGATTAATCGATCAACGCACAGCTAAAACACCTTTGTATAGAAGCATGAAATTTTGCACAAATGTTCCTTAGATGGGCCATAAGGTGTGCACTATGAAAGGATTTTTTTAAATTCCTCCCCTAAGGGTGTAAAATGGGGGTTGGAAATTTATATGAAACCTCGTAATTTTTGGTAGTAGCGTTTTCTAACTCACAGTAAATACTCGTTATTAGAAGTATTAAAAAAGGTTGTTAATTTTTTTTAAATAACCTTTAAAAAGGGGTGCAAGTTTGTATGGAGAATATACCTATAATCTTCTCATTGTATCCTCTACGATGTCTGATTTAGACCACCACGCGGACGAAGTCGCGGGCAAAAGCTAGTTCCTGTTTAAGCACATTGTATTTACTAGTTAAGGATCTTTGATCTCGGTCATAACTTTTCATACACGTATTTAGTACATTCGCCATACGAGCAACTCGTGTATTTGTGTTAACAATTTACATAAAAAAATCAAATCTCAGATTATGTGAACTTTCACTTTGCATAAAAAATTTGGTCATGCTGCCTGCGAAAGTTTACATTCAATACAATATCACTACAATAAAAGGCGACGCGCCTGTTGGTCTAGTGATTAGTGACCCTGACTGCTAAGCCCGAGGTCGTGGGTTTGATTCCCACACAGGACAAATAATTATGTGATGAGCATGATGATTTGTTCTGTGTCTGGGTGTAATTTATCTATGATATGTATGTATTTATAAATATATAAGTGTGTTTATCAGCAGTCTGGTTACACTATACAGCTATTACATATACAGCAAAAAAAATATTAAAAATCAATTTTTCGATAATCCATAAAAGGATTAAATTGAATTCTGAAATGGTTTCATCCAAAAAGAGAATCAGTCTGTCATTCTTCCTGGAAAACTTCTGTTCACACAATGAAGTTGACAAACTAAAATTCAAACTACAAAATGGCAAACTGTTACTGGTGCTCCAAACTTTTTACCCAGGACTTAATTATATAGACATTCATTACTACAGAAGCAACAGCATATATGCTAGCAGTAAACCACGATTTTCTGATTTTCGAAATTTTATTTCTGGAATTTATTTTGATAAGGATTACAGTATCTTTCTTCTTTTTATCGGTCAAGATTTCAGGTGCAAGCTGAGGCATCAAAAGGTCATCAAGGTTTTGAAGGTTTTACTACAACAATGTTAACCATTTCCAACACTATTTACTTAATGGGAAAATCTATTAGACAAAATTACACTAATCCTAGTCCACTGCTAGACATAGGTCTCTCCTTAGAAAGGAGATTTTGGCCTACTATACCACGCTGGCCAGACGGGTTGGTATGGGGTTTGTGTTAAGTTTTCCTTCTTTTTGCAATGCTGTGTCCTGCCTAGTTTACTCCCTTAGTCTGCTCTTACGACACCCACGTGATGAATAGAGGTGGTGACACTCTGTATTCTTACCCCGTCACGGCTGGACCGATTTTGATCATATTTTACTACCATCTGTTTATATAAGGAGTAAATTAGGCTATTTTTCCTCTTAGATAAACCCTTTACAATTTTGCCCAGTTCGGAAATCTAATATTTAATAATCTATATAAAGCAGTGCTTTTCAAATTCCATGGGACCGAGGTTGCGGGTACCAGCTGGTCAAATATATAAAGATAATTAAGAAACTATTTAAAATTTGGTTAGTTTAGAATTAAGTTACAGCTCTGTATTAAATAATTAAAAAAAAAGAAAGCCAATAGCCAAAACCATAATCACTTTCACATCCATCGCAAATGTTTTACCAGATAACAATGAGCTATATAGGATTGTGTGAACACCTATGGGATGATGGCCTACAATTGCATATTGCAGAGCAAGACCCAACACTGGCCATTGTGTACTGGAGCCTAAAGGTTTGCAAGTAATAGACCTCACCAAGGTTCTAGGAATGGTAATGCTTTAAGGCTCCAAAGTTTTGTATGGCAACTTATACAATTTGATTTTATCATGCATTAACAAAATATATATAATTTAAAAAATGATAATGTTTTATTTTTCTGAAGTATTCTATATAACTATTCAATGTATAAGTATAAGTTCAATGCATCTAATGCTTTGTGTTTTCTCACTGAATTGGCATTATGTATTGCAGGTTTCTACTTAAACATTACTTTTAATAGCAAATACCATTGTTTTTATTACCATTATTTTATTTTAAAATTCACGACAAATACAATTCAAGCCACTCTCATATAACTAAATACTCAAAGAGAATTTGCAAATAGAACTTACCAACAGTTGATACAGGAGGATCAGGTGCCACTCTGGTAGGTCTCGGTGAAGTCTCCAACCTTGATGGCTGTGATGGCGGTGGAGGCGCCCGACGCCTAGGTGCACGAGCTGTGCTCGGGCTCACCGTAACTGTCACATGACCCTCAAACCCTCCATCTTCTTCCCGTGTATCTCTCACAGGGCTCGCCATGCTTGAAGTAGGAGTACAAACAGTCAAGTTCACAGATGTAATTGCTCTAGGACTATCATAGTCTTCTAACCAAGGATCACCATAACCACGACTTAAGTCCATATGACAATTGACATTAACTGACAAATTTAACGGATACCCTCTCTCGGGGCGAAATGCTGTATTTGGTTTGGCTTCTTTTATTGGTTGATTTTCGTTTCTTGAAACAGAAGGTGCTGGTGAGATTGTTCTGCAAGTTTCAATCTCTGGCTCTCTTAGTGTTGGTTTAAATGCATTCTCTGGATTCGGTTTAATGAAATTAAGTGTGTTTGGTCGTATTGGTTTGTCTTGTGTTAGTTTTATGGGTGCCGGTTCTTCTTTTTTAATAGTTTTCTTCTCTTTACCCTTTTCTAATCTCTCTGGTAAGTTGCTTTTAATTTTATGACTCTTCAAAATCTTATAATTTGTACTTTCTGGTTGTTCTAAATTTGTCTGATCTTTTTGAAGTGAATTTGATGTTTCTTTTAATGGTAATATAGGTGATGTAACTTTGTTTTGTTTGAGATTTTCATTCGTCAATTCCAAATCACTAGGCGAATCAGCATTATATTTAGCGAAACAACTATCAATATTGATAACAGTTATTGGTGAAGTGTTGTTGTTATTTCTATTAGATTCATCATTTTTAATCTCCACAATATTTTGATTGGCATCAGTGTTCAGCTTATTTTGAAACTCAGTGTTCAGTAGGATCTCTGGCTCAGTGATAAGCTGCTTCTCTGGCTCAAGTGTTGGTGTGCTACAGCTCAATATTGCTTTCTGTGGACCTTGACATGTAACAGACTGAAGTGCTATTGATTGTTCCACTTCATGCTTCACTATAGGTTGGTTTCGACACTTGATGGGTAAGTTTAATCTGAGTTCATTGAGTTGACGAGCGGCCGCCGATGAGGACGCATGATAGGCGTGTGTTAGGGAGGCCTTGACTTCGCTATGGAGGTGCTTCTCACAGGCTTGTTTATCATGACAGTACAATTCGATGGTGTTCGACACAACATGATCAGGTACTCCAGGAAATTTCTGTTTAAGTTCATGGAACAATTGCATAAGCGATATATTAGTGCATGCGCACGGTGCAGGGCTCGCAGCGCTCTCAAAGGGGGCAGACATCGCCGCCCATCCTAGCGGAAGCCAACCGCTTCGCTGCAAATTCTATCCTCACAAGGAGGCCACAAAACTTTCGCCACTCACCGATGAAAACAATAAAACATTTTATTAGCTAATTTGCACTGTAAATAACGTCTTGTCTATTTTGTGACGTCACAATCCCGAAAATCACTGTTCTGGAGAGTTACGTATACATACCCAAGAGTTCTTCGTAGTTAACATTCATGCTATGTTAAAATTGACGGCACACACATGACGAAAAAGAGCATAAACCGAGGCTAGACTAAATTTTTATATCTTTTGTTATCATACCAAAGCTTGATATTTCGTGAAATTGCAACATTCGAATGTTATGAAAATGTAACACAATATTTCAATGTAGTATAAAATATTTACTTTATACTTTATCAAGTAATACAAAAACTCTGAAAAAGTACAAAGGCAACAGTTATTGCACCCAAAAATAAATTATGAAAATTGCAAGACTGTCAACCAAAATCTGCCATTTTTGCCATAGACAAAAAAAGTGTTCCTAAACTGATCTTGCCTAACTTCAAATGCGTCAAATCTTGTAATAATTGTGAAATAAACCTATAAAATAAAGGCAAAATATAAAGTATATACTTAAAAGTTTTTTATGTTATCGTTTATATTCTTAAATCATTAAAAACGTTTATGGTTACCAAAGTATAAGAACGAGTCTATGAATTTCTGTAGTTTTATCAAAACATGTCATTTATCTGCCAACAATGTCAATTCTATTCTAATTCATTCGTCAGACGTCAGAGAATCTAATTAAGTTTACTAATATTTATCATTAAGTTAAAAACTCAAATTGTTTACTCTGGTACATTACTGCCTTTAACATGGTTGATGATTTGCGGAAATATCTGAACCATTTACTGGAAAAGTAATTTATATATGTTTACAAAACATGAATGTAATTAGTTAAGAAAGCATTGATAATAATGATTTGAATTGATTTTAGAGTAAATGGGCTTCACTGTATTCTGATAACTGACCGTGAAGGCGTACCTTTGGTCCGAGCGGTAACGGAAAGGGCCCCTCAACTAGCCCTGAGACCTACCTTTATATCAACATTCGGGATGGCCACTGACCAAGCAAGTAAACTGGGATTAGGCAGGAACAAAACAATCATATCAATGTATTCCAGTTATCAGGTAAGTTGATATAGACAGGGTCCAGTTTTTAGATTTTTATTCCAATTCTACTATTACATGCTTTTGTGCAATTCAGTCAGCATCATATTTGCGATTGACTGGCTCGGTGGTGCAGTGGTGTGTGTGCAACTTCTGTGCTGATGTCTCGGATTTGATTCCTGGTTCGGACCAAATGCTTGTATGTTCTGCAAAGTATTCTATCAGTCAATTTGGCTTTCATAGTACAAGCTCTGCTTAATTTGAAACTATATGGCACTGTGTGTCAGATATCCATAAATATTATTTTTAATGTTAAAATGGTTAAGATCAAATATTATGTCCCATACTAAATTGACTATTTTCCATTTGGTTTTAGGATGTGTATAGGATGGAAGTTTGTAACACAGTACACACCACATTCAATAAGCATATTAAAATTGAGTAATTAACCAAAGTCCACAGGAACCAGTATCATCTGACTACATTTGATAGAACCAAGTCAGGTGCATCCTGCCCACCCACCACACAAGATAATTTGAATAAAAATCTTGCCACATTTTTAATCAAATTGCCAGATTACTACGGGATTACTGTGTTACTAATTTTCAAGTATACTGAACAAATATATTTTATTGTATGTATGTTATGTACATTTTGGGTTCGATTCCCACCCAGGACTAATATTGTGTAATGAGAACTATCATCTGTTCTATGTCTGGGTGCCATTTATCTATAATATGTATGTATTTAGAAGGAAATAAGTATGTTTATAAGCAGTCTGCTTACCATAGTACAGGCTCTTCTTAGTTTGGGATCAGATGTGTGAACTCATAATTCTCTTTATTTCATTAAATGTACATATAAATAAAATTTTAATATATTGATGTACCTACAAAAAACTAAAATACATTTAAAAATATAAAAAGTGTCCCATCGGCATCGGGTACAGTGACAATATTATTATTATTATTTACTATTTTATTTATTATTACAGGTAATACAGATGAACAAGTTACCATTAGTCATCACCTTTATTGGCAGTGATAATTGCAACACTGGTCACATATTATCTTTGGAAAGTCAAATAGAGCCTTTTTTGAAAGATTTAGAAGCTGTGGTAGCAGATGCTCCTTGAGAGCTTAGAAGTTTTTTGTTATAAGGCCTAGTATTATTGAAACTTGGAAATATAAAAATTTGAAATATTACAGTACTACAAACTTATAAGATCAGGTAACATTGACCTTCTCAGAAGAAGATAAAATATTGAACATGATAAAATATTGAACAATAATCAATTTTCTAAATTCAAAATATAAACAAGAATTTCGCTTTCAAAAACATCTTTAACATCTTTTCTTTAAATGAACTGAACAAAATTTTAATTTCCCAGTAAGCAATTATTTTGCCCGATCTATTTTATATATTTTATTTTCTTTGGTGATTCTGTTACACCAAAGACCAAAGATAAGTTCGAAGTACTGTATTATATTACGAAAGCTTATTCTAAAACTGGGTACATCAAAAAAAATATGATGACTGATCAACTTTTTTACATAAGTCGACTATATTGTTTCAATATGTATTCAGAAAAGAAATCTAAAGTTATCATTGTTGAAATATAAATACTTGTATATAAATACCATTGATACTTTTATATTATAGTAATAAATGTAAGCATAAATAAAAGTCAAATTTATAATTTATTGTAATAATTTTATTTATATTCAATAAATTATAGACAATACGAAATGCAGTAAACGACATCTGTAATGTATACAACCTATTTTCAGCTCTAACATCACTGGCGTATGTACTTATTGGCATTGGTTTGCGCTTGGATGGACAATACAGGGTTGCAGTCCTTAAAAAAATAACCCCAAATATTATAACATAATAATAATTATGTCATGTATGCGTCCCAACATTGAGAATAAGAATTATTTTATCGTCGTATTTTCGTATATATACATATCGTATTTTTAATTGATGCCAGTAGTTTTTCTGTATTTTTTTATTTATTATTTTAATTTTATTAACCAAGGTAGTTAATTACTCATCATCATAACTATGCAAAATTGTTATTTGCACATTATTGCATGAATATTGATAGATATGTACTGTTTTATCGCACAGTTATAGGTGAATTTTCGTTCTTTTTATTGCGGGACATTGTTAGCAATACAAAAATCAAATTTAAAAAGATAACTGATTTCTAAGGATAAATCATTATTGTCATTAAGACATGTTGGATTTATATACCTCATGTATACATTTTATAAATATTTTTGTAGGAGTACAATGACGGAAGTACCCACTGAGTGAACAAAACTTCCAAAATCTGTTTTCAATTGACTTCAAAGTAAGGAGGAGGTGGATATGGTGCTCTGTTGTATTTTTATAATGTATAAACATTGTTGTTTATCAAAATTTTTGGCAAATTTAGGATATACTTCGATTCCGTTCAAATTTGAAAAAAAAAAACCATATCTAAAAGGGTGAGACATTAAGGAACTAAGAAAACAGTTTATTATAATTCATCATTATGTAGGCTCAAATCGGGTAGATACGTTTTGAAAAGTTGCTTGCTCAATGTTTCGCTTAGACGATGCGTATATCTAGCAAGTAATACATAGGTTTGATAGTTTTTCTAATAGTACAATTTATTGCCTAATTAAACATTCGAGTTTTCAATTAGTAAAATAATAGTGTTGATCACAGTTGAACTGGTGTGATGAGAGCCTTGCCAGTGAGCGCGTTGATCACATTGTTGGCTGCTAGCACACCCATTTCAGTGCGAGTTCGGACTGTAGCACTTCCAATATGAGGTAGCACGACTGTTGGGAAGAAAATGTAGTATTTAGGTTTCAAATAAAAAAACATGACAAATTAATAATGAAAAAAATGTTAATAATAACGAAACGAGTTCAGAATAGAGCAGATGTCCCCCTTTTTTTTTCCGTGCGGAAATCCCCTCGGTTACCATCTATGTCTATGTGGCATGTCGGACTCGAACCGGCTAAAACCGCACGCCGTCTCGGGTACTAATAGCCGGGGAACCAGGTATACCCTAGAAAGGAAGTCAGCAGATGTCCCCTGAACTTGGCTTACGTACTTACGTAAGACAAGTTCCTAAGCCCGTTAGGTACTTACCTAAAGGGGTTTTTAAAGTAGGGTTTTAAATTCTAACTTTTGACTTATTGGCTGAAATATAAGCGCAAGAGAATGACATACCTAAATGTCGCATTGTTGCTGTCTTAAAATATTTTTATGACGTGCGAAGAAACCGAAAACTACTTACTTACTAAAAAATCATGGTTTAATAAACAAACTAAATGTAACTTTAGTGAGTTAGAGGCAACATTTACAATATACCCAGAAAAATATCCAGAGACATTAAGATCCAGTAGGTACATAGGAATAATAATAACTGGACACATCTCACACACGGCCGTCTGATCCCAAACTAGGCAGAATCAAAATTATTTGTGGCGGGGGGGACTGAACCCACGACCTCTGGCATAGCAGTCAGGATCACTAACCACTAGACCAAGAGGCAGGTCAATCTGGAATCTGGTTAGAACTTAAATAACGAACCCTATTCTAAACATTGGATTGTGAAGTCAAGAGTTTAGGTACGTTGACAGTATAATAATAATCACTCACATAAATTAGGCAAAGTGAGGAGTTTGTGGTCCTTCGGTAAAGGTTCAGGTGTAGTGACGTCGAGACCTGCGGCGTAGATCTGTTTGTTTTTCAGTGCATCATATAATGCGTCTTGGTCCACGAGGTCTGAAAAATTGTAAAGTAGGTAGATGAAGAATTATGCTGGAGTTAATTTATCAGGCGGACTTTCGTTTAAAAAGTTTATCTGTGCAGATCATTCTGCAGCTTTATGAGCGTGCTTCTTTGAGTGCGTTTCTGCCCATGTTAATGTGCTGATTTGTAGGCGTTGGTGTATCTCTTTGGGTTCGTCTGTGAAATTCCGCCCATGTTAATGTGCGGATTTGTGAGTATTTGGGTGTCGCTTTGGGATTTGAGTGACCGTAAGCGTTAGTGTACGTCTTTTAATGGGCTTGGGAGTTTCTGCGCATGTTAATGTGCGGATTTGTAAGCGTTTGGGTAGCGCTTTAGGTGCATCCATGAGTGGATGTGTAAGCGCCAGAGTACCTCTGAGTACGTTTGTGAGAGGCTTGTGCTTTGAGTGCGTCTGTAAGCGAATTTGAAAGCCTCTGTGAAGGGTTTCATCAATAAGAGGCCGAATGTGCTGATATACTAATTACAGGCACAGTTCTGCCGGAGGGCATGGTATAGGTTCGTTCTTGTAATGCATTATTTATACTTATAGATACACGCATTTTAAAATTATCGTTATGGATATTATTACAAAATGTTTACAGAGACACGATTATTGCAGTTATCAATATCTTTTGATAACCTTTAATCCGAGACAATTGTCGAAATACTGTATCTTGTATCAGTTTATCACTCTGTATAGTAAATGCAAAGCGACCTCGTACAGTGACTAGTATTTTAAGATTCTTAAATAATTAATAATTCATAATACGAATAAGGGTATTTCTTTTATTATGATATAGGGGGGCAAACGAGCAGACGGGTCATCTGATGTTAAGTGACTACCGTTGCTCATGAAGTCCTGTAACAAATAACACACAAGTGCGTTTATACCGTTTTAACTAATTTACGTAGTTATTACGTTAAAGAAATTTTCAAGGTTTGACTTTATCTTACACGTACCTATACTTATAACATATTTTTACAATATATTTTTTTTAAAACCTCAATATTCGAATTAAACTATTCACTACATTAGAGTATGTTTAAACATTATGTACCTACCTACATATTTAATACGTCGAATTCAAAATCACTGACTAGATAATTCGTTCTTCTTCGCTTTCTTTCTATCAAGGACATACAAAGACCAGACACTATGTAGTGGAAATCAAAAGATGCGCGTCAATGAGTGGAAGTGGCTTAACTGCAGAAATCGCGAGCAGTTGAGCAGCGTATGACTTCCGCGCACACTAAGTTTCGTCAGACCTTACCTCCGCGTCCAACATTTACAATGATGGCGTTGTTCTTCATCTTCGCAAGGTTTTCTTTATTAATCATGTGCTTAGTCTCATTCGTCAGTGGCACGGCCAATACGATAAAATCGCTTTGTGTTAGAAGCTCATCTTGTGTCACGAATTCAGCACCGAGAGCTTTACCTGAAAACCCAAGAAGAAGCTGATATTTGGAACTTGAAATTATATCGATGTAGAGACTTTTAAGACTTCTTCCATTATAGTGGACGAGTCACGTAGGTACTTTCTGACACAGCAAATCAGTGGTTGATTAGTTCTTAGTTAAAAATCGCAATTTTAACTCAGCACACACATATGCGATATACCTATTCAAGTAAAACCTTTCAGAGTCTAATTAAATTTTTTCTTATAAGTAATGTGACATACCTTCAGGCTTTTCCCTATGGCCACTGTATATGAACTTGCTAACTTCAAATCCTGCAAGGCGTTTGACAACAGCTTGTCCAATACCTCCCAGTCCCACGATACCAACTGTGCTGCCCCGTATATCTTGTCCTAGTACCTTATCGAAGCCAATCTCCCATTCACCACTAAATTTTGGAAATAAATACAAATATTGTGAAATTGATTTTCTATAAAGGATTTTTGAAATAAGTGAAATAAATAACTTTTAGAGCGGAAACGCCAAAGAGTGTGTTTAACGATTATCCTTCACGAATGTTGAAAATATATGTAGATTTTTTAAGCAAGTGGTTAATGATGTATAAGTAGAAACACTACCAACCTCTAGTAGGTAGTGTTTAAAGGCCTGTTTTTCAGTTTTAAAATGTATGTTTCTCTAGTTGTTACCTGGCAACTTGGGCAAGATTCTCATTAAATCGCCTTGCTGCTCCCAACAAAAGACCCACAGCAATTTCTGCTACTGCTGATGATAACACATTGGGTGTATTGGAGAGCTTGATACCCCGAGCCTTAAGTTCGTCCACATTGCAGTGGTTGTAACCCGCAGATACAGTGGCCACCACCTTCAGTTGAGGACCTGTTGATAAAATATTTGATTTCTATTCACTCTATACTCCACGTTATATTTCAACTGCTGTAGAATAAGATACTAAAGACAATCATCGTAAGGAATTCATATCATATCACATTAAGATTACGGTCGGTAAGTAGTAAATGAGATTGTGAAGTTTTATTGCGGGAAGCCGCAATCTTTGTGATTTCTTTTGTGTTGTTTGTGTTGTTTGTCTTGTCCTATGCGTCTCCAGCTTTTCGATGGTGCAACGATGTGTACACTTTGTAGAGTCGCAACACTTGGTATAAAAGACGATTGACCGTTTTTTTGCGACGGTTGCACCGTGCCTTTAAGCGCTATGAGAGTCTAATAGCCTGTCAGTTCAATTCTACAAATCCACAGCGGCATTCGTGATAAGTGATTGCAAACTGACGTCCACAGGCCACAGACAGTCGTTGTGTCTAGTCGACGAGCTGTCGCTGAGACTTGCTGTACAGTGTGCGCAAGCCGATGGGTAATGACTGCGATGACTTGATGAACATACAAACTTTTATCTAGGTACCTCAGGAATCGATTTGAAGAATTATTTTGGCAATTTTAAGTTTGCCTTCGAAATATAAATTTATATAAAGCGCAAAAAGTAACAAATAGATACACGGTCAACAAAGTTATCTTATAAGTTTTCGATTTTACCTTTTGAGACATAGAACCCTGAAAACTTAATAGGTACCAAAGTTATTGTTTGTAATTTAGCGGCTTACCGGCTTTATCTAACAATTCTTTGGTAATAGGAAGGTTTGAAATCCAAACAAGTGCTGAACAACCTGGAATGAGCTTCAGAAGATCTTCTTTGGTCAAGGTCTTGCCTTCTTCACCGTAGTTCATGTAATTTGTTTGAAGGACTGTAAAACTGATGGCGGTATTAGTTGGACTTCACCAAGAAAGTCATCTAGCTACCAACTCTTTGTTGGGACAATTTTAATACAATTTGTGTTTTAATGATAATAACCTAAAGTGAGGCAATAATTGTCTGTTCTAGTTTTCCCTTTTCAAAAAAGTAATTCTGTCACAAATTTTCTTGTTTGTTTTTATATCGAATCATTGATAACATTATCATTACAACGAATGAAATAAAAAAAAAACACATAAATAGGTAAATAACTAGGAAAATAACGAGTGCCCAAGGTCTTTCTGCATATTTGATTGTGTCTAACTCGACTAAGAAAACCAAATTTTCTATATAAGGTTTAAATTTTATTCACAATTCCTAAGTAGGTAATTTCACCATAAATGTGACAACATGTTTAAGTAAGCCGCCGGAAATATCCCTCAGTATACGAAGGACATGTTAGCGAAAAATAATACCTATATTCCTTAAACGAGTTATACGTGTATAGGTAAATCACTTAATAAAGTACCTATTGTGGCTACTGTTCACAATATTATAATAATAATATGTCGCTTCGTTGTACACCAGATATAAATATACAATAATTACCTTAAACTAGGTTAGTACAAGTGGCGGCCTTATCGCTCAGAGGCAATCTTTTACAGACAACAACAACAGCAGGTGGTATAGAGAGAAAACATGAAGGGAAGGAGGTATTGGGTATTGGCTGGTGTATTAGGTAATAGAAAAGAAGATGAAATCAAAGTACGAGTAGTATATACATAACTATAAAAAGTGATAATTACACATAGTATCTATTTGTTGGAGTTAGGTGAATATATAACATACTAGAGGGAATACTCGTATACTATGTGCTGAACACGGCTGGTGGTGTTATTAAATACATATAATTAAATAAATACGTGTGATTTATAAGTTCTAAATACATATATTAAAAGAAATAATGTGACCTTGTCGACTTAGTAGAAGTTAATTGACATTGACGTCCCCCAGGTAGTATTCTTTTACTTGTTTTTTCAAGGAGGCAAGGTAGGTTTTTAAAAGGAATAAATTTGGCGAGCAACATGTTCCATTAATGCTCGGCTCCTTTTAGTCCTAGCGTGATGTTATATAGCCTATAGCCTCCCTTGATAAATGGGCTACCCAACACTAAAATATTTTTTCAATTCGAACCAGTAGTTTCAGGGATAAGCGCGTTAAACAAACAAACGAACTCTTTAATTTGATAATATTAATATAGAAGTATATATTTGTTAGTACTCGTAGTTTACTGATTTTCCTCATTTAGTTTAATTGAGGCCTAGTGGTTACAAGTTTAATAATAAGAATAAACAGTTTTCAGGAGTTAAATAGAAACAAAGATTATAAATTAAAAAATGGCAAATATTAACTAATTGATTGAATAGGTCAACGACCATAAAACTCGCTGGCCTTGTCTAAAATGCTCATTAATAGGTCGTTTCCATCAGACGCAGACGCATGCGCAGACCACTGTTTTTAGTTGCCCTAGCTTAATTATTGCCTATCAACGTCCTGCAAGGATAAAACTTTAAAGGAAACAATCAATATAATTTGATTCTTGTGTGTTGATTACATAATTTTGATATTAGAACGAAGTTCCTTATCGCATGTTACACGCGCTGAGCAGATGGGAGGGATACCGAAAAATGTGTAACAAGACTTTTTTCCGACACTTCTTGCTTTAGTTACAAACTTCGTTCCTATCGGGGGTCCATAGATACCTCACGCCGTTTCCTCATTTATTTTAACTTATGCACATTTGGTATATTGGCGTTCTTTTCAAAGAATCAATGGCACGAATACAATAATAAAATAAGTGGAATACAATATTCAGTTTAACTATTAATGAGTATCATTATTATTCATACGTTAATATTTTATATTTATAAATACATCATAATTTTTTTACACAAAACTGGTTGCGTACATGAAACCAATGTTTTTAATATCTAGGTATTCAAGGTAATATAAATGTTGAATTTTTCGACTTTCTCTTTCTATCACAACAAAGAAAACGTAGTTACCTACCTTGAGACCACTTATAGGGAATATTCTATGAGCACTTAACCCTATTAAGTGCTCGTAGGGAATATTCCATGGTCCCAATTAAAAAAAAAAGGTTATGTTTAAGACAAAGGTTATCTTTGGTAAGTCATAGAAGTATTATATCATTTTTATGATTTTTATTTTAATATTGTTAAATGATTCAATAACTAAGTATTGTTTAAATAATAAATACAATAAAAACTTACTGTTCTTGAAGAACTTTTAGAGCAGCTGGAGGAAAATCCTTTGAAGATACTAATACTTTTAGATTTTTCGTCATTGTGTTGTTCGCAACGCTATTCGTCGGTAAACTGACGGTAACTAACGCAATTGTTGCTACGTAAATTGCAAGCATTGTATAATAAGTACTTGTCAGATATGAGATTCAGATAATCAAAGATAAAGTAGTAACTATGTACTACCGTCGAGCGGGCTTGAATCGTTATGGCCGACTCTACTGGATTTACAGAGTCAAGGTCTCGGGTCCAGAAAAAATAAGCGGTTATAATTATATGATGGCGGCAAACGCGACGCCGCGACGCTCATTTTTTAATGTTTGTTTTCGCTACAAGTTTGATGTTTTTAATAACTTCTTTAACGTTTGATAAACCTTGTTGGTCATAAAGTTATTAATTGGTAAGTACATATCGGAATCTTTGCCACGGTTAACTTTTAAACCTTCGAATTTCACGGTTTATGTAGGCACATGTTCGTGACTTAACGCGATCCGGTGTACCTAAATAACCGATAAAAAAATAATTAAGGCATAAACTAAAATCCATTAAGCCGTGTAACAGCCGGTAGTGTCTTATGGTAACTAATTAGAAAAAATAATAAGTGATAGGCCCTGTTATGAGATCAGGCGCCGGAGGTCGCAGAACGACCTCCGTCCTCCATAAGCGCAGGCCTGGGGGTGACAGGTAAGGCCAACTATCACCCTAGTAGAAGCAGGCCGGGGTGGCGGTGAGCGCGTTGCGAAGCGCTCGCTTCCAGGGAGCAGAGGGAACATGGGGTTCCCACACGGGGGGGGGGGGGCGGCTACTTGTTGTAGATGGCCCGAGGTATGTCGGGGCACCAGGGAATTCCTTTCTAGGGTATACCTGGTTCCCCGGCTATTAGTACCCGAGACGGAGGGGATTTCCGCACGGAAAAAAAGGCCCTGTTATGAGAAATAAAAAAGTTGAATAGGAGAAAACAAATGAATAGATTATGTGGAGAGCTTGCTTCCTGCGATAAGAGCGTGACATACCTACAGTGTACTTTATCTTTGATAGTATTTGTATATTGTAGTACAAAGACGTGACTTGTCTCCAATATATGGATATTTTTATACTTATTCTTATTGACACGACTTGTTTTATTGGAAAAAAATGTGTTTTTGTATGTATTCATTAATTTGTATATACATTGCACAAGACGGTGTTATGCCATAGGCCTTTTCTTCCAGTTGATCTTAGGGTACGGCTGCTATAACTGTCGAATAACTGATCGCTACATTTGGAAACAGAAAACAATTTACACATAGATTTTTTGTATCGAACTTTTGCACTTGGTACTAAAATAGGTTAGGCACTTTTAAGTTTAATTTTTTAACTAAAAATATCAACGATAAAATAAAATAAATATTTCTTCAAGACTGCAATGAAACCAACGAATACACTCTTTCGACATGGGCATTGTGACCTGGGACTATCATTGATAGTCCTGAAATAACAAATCAACCCTTTCTATCCAGAACAACACGAGCCAGGCCGTCCCATACCATTCGGGCATAGCTACTAAACCGGGACAAATGGAATATTCTTTTTTTTTTCTTTTTTGAAAAGACAACTCCCGCACTAGGAATAAATCCTGTGTCGCGGGGGACTTTACAAACATACATGAAACGGACACAAAGTACACCCAGACTCAGAACAACAATTTGTGGATCACACAAAGTGTTGTTCCATGTGGGGTTTGAACCCACAACACTCGGCGTAATAGGAAGCGGCGTGGCGACCGCTTAAACCACTTCGCCATCCGTGCAGCCAAATATTGACCGAGACACCGGGACATGTACCGGTGTACAGGGACGTATTGCAGCCTTGACGGTGATGCAGAGCTGTGTGTGGCAGGTCTATACTAGAATGAGATAATAATAATAATAATATAGTTTATTGTTTCTCTCACACAGAACGGCAATACATTAGTCAAAACAAAACAAAACAAAACAAACATTCATTAGACAATTGCAATGGTTCTATGTGAAAGACTGGTATCTGTACTAGGACAGACCTGTATGACAGATTACCAGCCTCTCCCAGCTCTGGATTAATGCAGTACTAGATGTAAAGTAGGTGTTATCGTTGAGTGAGAGTGTATAACAATTACTACCCAGTGGCAGTGTGTTCGTACATAAATGAAAGAATGTGTGTGCGCGTGTGTTTGTGGGTGAGTGTGTATATGTTTAGGCGTGTGTATGTGTTTGTGTGAATGTATTGTATATATTGCGTAAATGTGCATATTGCGTGCGTAAATGTGTTTTAGAATATATATGTGTGTGCATAATAATATAATATAAAAAAGCAGAAAAAAAATATGGGAGCCCACTTACGTGTATAGTGTTGTATTACGATGGAATATGTTAAAGATTTTCTGTTTCATCGTAACTGAGGGACTTGAGCCAACATGTGACAGCCTTATTGCAATGGAAACGTGTATAGGGGTATATGTTAATCAGTTTGTTGATCTTATTGTAAAGATATCCTCCCAGAAAGCCAAAGAATCTCTTAGAGAACGCCGTAGTCCATTGAGTGGTCACTGTGTCACAGATATGATGTCTCCGACGCTTGAGATTGAGAGTAGAAGGGTCATAAGTAAGAGCGGCGTGCTGTTTCAGTATGATTCCCAAGATAAATAGTTGTCTCACTGTTAGGACATCGGTAAGACGATACAGGTCTTTAGTAGGGTGAAGAAATGACAAGGACCGACTCACCTTCAAAACTGCCCGCTGAGCTCTTTCTAATTTTATGAGATTGCTCTTAGATAAATTATTACTTTAATAATATTTGTTAGAAAAATAATTTAAAACAAAAAACATATCAATACACCTTTTTATGTGTTTTCCACGGGTTTTCCCAATTTAATATTCGAGATTTTGTCTTAGGAAACATGATTTTCTGCGATACAGTTCTTAAAAATTGCGCTCTGGTATTACTATTAGTATTATAGTATTCACTTAATTGCCCAAATAGTCGTCTATTCATTTAATAAAAACGACACGGCAAACAAAAAGTAAAAATCATTTTGTTGATTTGTTGAAACTAAATGAAGTAAATTTAATACGTTGTATTAATACCAGTGGTCGCTCAGTGGTCGAATTCTGGAATCAGTGGCTGGAATTTATTAAAACTTTAATGGTATAAGCATTTTTTTTTATTCGTAAACCATACACAAGTAAAATATATCCTTGATTTATTGATAAGCTTTTGCCCGTCTGTAGGTGGGAAACAAGGCATTGTTGTTTGGTGTAGAGAGTTGTCGGTACTGAAGAATGGAATTAATTATAGAATTAATTTATCAAATGATCCCTTTTTAATTAATAATTTAATAATAATTGAATGAAATGAATAATTATTTTCCGAAAATATAATTTCTGGCAAAAAGGTAATTAGAGTTTGGATATACTATAATTGATTAGAATAATATCATGATGATCCTGGCAGGAGCGGATCCAGCTTCTAACATAGTAGTTAGGAATCACAACCAGCTCCGATTTGAAATTATACCTATTAGACTCAGGAGGATTACAGGGGTCATGAGCACCCTGGATCCGCCTTTGCATGATGGAATGAATGACAAACGCAAGTATCATTCATTGCTAGCACGTTAGGATCGGTGTTCCATCTATGAATTAATGCCTGTACTGTATGTAATTGAATTTTTGCTACTGTACGCTAGATGGTAGTATGTTCGTGTAATGTTAACACATTAGATAACATGTTTAAAAAAAATGAAAAAGTGAGGTTATTTATTCTTTCTCAAACGTCATCTGTCAACTAATAATGTTATACGAGTAGTACATACTTAGCACGTTTGCGTTTAGTCATTATATAATGTTACTCTTTTGCACTCCGTTAACAAGGAACGTTTCATAGTTTTAGCGATAACTTGTGTATAATAAAGATAACATACAACAACGTACTTTTAGCCTTGTCAGTAATATAATCTAGACAGCCATCGCGCTTTTCAATACATTTATTTACGATAGTAGTTAATATACAAGTAATATTAAATTCTGTTTTCAAAATGTTAAAACGAGTTCTTATTGTTAATAAAAGTTTTTGTTCAGCCGGTTTGGAGGTTATGAAAGACAAGTAAGTTTTTATTTTATTTTTACATTTTACTATACATAGTTGTATTAAATCACATTTTGTTGTAATATTTAATAATATTTTTAAAATACACACAGCGCGCCCTTGCGGCAACTGTTACAAACTTAATAATAGAGTTACGAAGAGAAGCTACGAATAAGAATTTCTGACTCGTAGGGTAGAAGGGTTTGGGAATACAAATTATACGTCTAGAATGGACCCATATTTGCTTTCCTTTTTTTTTATACAGCCAAATGGATCTTGGGTAGCGTTCTCTAACGTGGGTGATATAAAAACATTTTCTCTTTTGAATGTTTCCTGATTTAATTTTACAATTCTCTTACGTAAAATATTATATTTACAAATTCGATGCAAATAGGATTGAGAGTTAATCATTTACCAGGTGTACGCCATATCTAAATGATTTAAACTTTCTTGTTTTAAAATATACATTCAATTATGTTCTTAAATTTCAATTAAATTAAAAGCAGATCCGCCCAAATAAAAAAATCGGAACGGTTTATACCTAAATGACGGAGTTCTGAGGGAGCAAACATAAAAATATTATTCAACCGAATTAAGAATCTCGTTTTTTTTAAAGTAGGTTAATGAAAAATATCGTTCCATGTGAATAAAATAAAATGATGAAGAGAGATGGCGCGCCACGAGGATATTCGAATACAACGTCTGAGGTCAATTCAATTTAAAGCAATTTATTTACTTGTGAATACAAGTTAAAATAATTAGTATAATTGTTAATAAGCTATTTGTATGATTAATAGATAGATTCTTAGGTAGGTACCTGATTGTATATTTTTGAAATGAGATTTTGCCAGATGTTAAATGTAATAACTTGAATATGAATTATTTTGAATATGTACAAAGTATATTCTATAGTTTCTAAAGATAATACGTAGATATGTCTTAATAATCCAGATAAGATACATGATAATAATATTATTGTGATTTAAGAAAAAAAAAGATCTTTAGCGGTAAGGTATGCCTTACCGCTAAACTGACCAGATTTAAACCATGTAATTGCTATTCATCAAAAAAAAAACAATCCACAAAGTTTGAAGAATTTATACTTAAACAGTATAAGCAACAAATTAGCGTTAGACTAGTGGTTAAGGCGTTGGACTTGCGATCAAGAGGTCGTGGGTTCAAACACAAGCAATTTAGCTTAGCGGGAGGGGTTAACAGGAATACTAGTAATTTCAGTTGCTAGTAGACCTTCTAAAAAAAAAATTCGTGTACATACGTGTACAGTTAGTCGGCATGTGTTTGGATAACATCTAATTATAGTCTTATATTCCTAATTATAGTCAATCTTTGACCATTAGAACGTAAAAACCAATTGCGGACTAACTATATTAAGTAATTTAACTAATTTTGGTTGTATCAAACTAAATATAGTTATGTTCTACGTTTTCAGAATGCGAAACGTTTTTTGTTAGTTGTTGTTTAGTTTAGAGAGTTTTCTAACAAAAAAAATCAGCACCAATGTGAGCTTCCGCAAAACAACCCTGATGCGCTGCAGAAGTGAGGCAACCCCACCAGCACCTTGGACGCGTTATTATACTGGATGCGGAGAGCATTGTTTGATTTTTGAGTAAAATATACATTGACCTTTCATGGCACGGTCTATGTTTGTAAAACAGTTTTTTTTGTATAGAGGATTAACGAGCATACGGGACACCTAGGTGAGTGACTACTGCTGCAATAGAGACGCAAGTGCGTGTGTGTGTTGAGTGCCGTCTTGAATTATGGATAGGTAATCCCCCCCTCACCCGTCTGGTCTAATGACTTGGCAGATGCCTTTCGCTGCAAGGATCTACTCAGAAGCCTGCAGCGGTGATGACCATACTGATCGTACGGGGCTATCGTACGATCTCGTTTGAGGCGGCAACAGTCCTGGCGCAATATCCACCCTTCGACATACCGGCCGACATGAACATGATGTTCTATGACCAAGTTCGCTCTGTCGGTCGGAGCGGTAAGGAGGTGGATTATGAGCCCTGAATGCTACGACGGAACGCGCATACGCATGCTCTGCGGGCGGCGGTCTGCTCTACGTGAGCGTCCGAACGTCAAGTCTTGGTCGGACAGATAAGATGAAACCTGTCACCGCCAGCTTTGATCGCGGCAATGCAGGGGAGTGGCGAGGGATAGGCAGCCGCAGTCTCCTTCTGGGAGGACGTCATGCTCCAGAAGGAGGCCGCAGAGCGGGTATGGGAGAGGGCCGATCCCGCTCGAAGGAGGCGGCAAATAGGGACGCGGCAGAGGTCGCTAGCTCCCCAATCGCCGCCTAAGGGTCGCTGTGGCCACATCTTGTGACTTTGTGACCGCTGACTCCCGTGCGGCCGGTTGTAGTCCTTCTAAAGCGGGACGCTGTTGCACCTTTTACTGTGTAGAGCAATGAGAGGTGCGGCAGCGTCCTGCCTCAGGATGACTATGGTTACCCCGGGAAGTGCCTCAGACTTGGGGTACGGCAGGGAGGACTCCAGAAGTCGCCAATGCGTTCCTGGAGCTCCTCCCAACTGCCGAGGTAGGCGGCCGCGGGGTTTAGTGGGTAGACTGGTTCTCTGGGAGTCCCAAACACGTTTCCCCAACGTAAGGTATGGTGAGAAAAGCATTCCCCGAGTGAAGAAAAAGGTAATCCCCCTGGTTAGACTTTTGGTAAGGTCACTCACTCGGTGAAGAGCAGTGAAAGAAGGTCTTTCCACTGGTTTTCTGTGAGACCTTGGTATTGCTCCGGTCGAGCTGGCCTATATGTGCCGACTATAGCTTCAAGTTAAAAAGAAATTCTTTGTAAATCTTTAATAAAAAAATATAGGAGTGCCGAAAGCTAACATTTTAATCAAGATGTGCTATAGTTAATCTCTACTACATATAAATATGACTCAGTGTTTATATACTCTTCGAAAATTAAGCAAAGCATACCGTAAATAAATTTTCATTTCAAACAAGTTTCTACAGACAGAACGTTCCGTTTTGACGTTTCGATTTGCGGGTTTCGTTTCGTTTTGTTTTGATTACCGGGATAGGGCCCAAATCAGATTGTACTTTTAATATACATTCCGCGAGTGCTTGCTCGACCAAGTTGCTCTTTTCATTAGGTTTAATCCAAAGTATTTTTTAAACGCTGTTGCCGGAATTGAGTTCAGTTCTCGCCGCGAATTCTCCTTTATGTCTTCTACCGTTCTATTGAAAACGGGTGCCAAGAAGTGGTAATTTGAGCTTTCGAAAAAGAAAGAAGTCGGCTGGAGCCATATCTGGTGAATATGTTGGTTGCTCGATGGTATCTGTTGAGTGTTTGGTAAAAAAATCGTTCATGAAACATGTTACCGAGCGGTTACATGTTTCATACCCAAATGATTAGTTAAAATGGTACGGATCGACTCGTGTGATACAGAAAGGCTATCTCTCTCAAAGTTGAATGAGAATTTCAGTCACTATTTTTTTCACTTTTGCGATGTTAACTTCAGTTGCAGACGTTGGTGGCCTACCAGAGCGAGGCAAATCTTCCATCACATCTCGACCGCTTTTGAACGCTTTGTACCACTCATAAGCACGTGTTTTTGATAAAGTCGATTCACTGTAAGCCTTCTGTAACATTTTCAGAGCAGCGATGCAAAATTTAAGACAAACTCTGTTCGATGTTTTTGTCCATTATGAAATTCGCAATACACCTTACATATGATATAACTAAAAACAGCACTGTCATCAACAGCCTTTACTCTCCACTGTCGGACATAGGCCTCTCCTTAGAAAGGAGGTTTAAGCCTACTACACCACATTGGCCAAACGGGTTGGTATAGGGTTTGTGTCAGTTTTCCTTCTCTCTGCAGTGCTGTTGTCCTGTGTAGTTTGCTTCCTTAGTAGCACTGTATTTAATATAAATAACATATGCAACTCCAACTCCGCGCCAAAACGTAAAATAATTTGGAACCATAGACAAATCATCCATTCCCGATACTTTTTTGACTGAATGTATATTGTTATTGTTGCTCTGCAAGCTATTTTGTGACAAATCCAAATAGTTGAACCACTTTTGTTGGTTTTGAATAATAATAACGGTTACCTTTCAATAACGGTATTCTCCAACCTCTCCCATTATTAATAAACACAAGTTTATTCATTATTGAAAACATGAAAAAAAAATTTTTACATACATGACACCAATAACTTTATGTTTATTTTCTATAAAACTAATAAGTAGGTATGTCATTGTTATTTTTCTCTATAAAAACTACAATGAGTTTCTATCAAACATAAATGCGTAAAACTGTACCGTCCAGTTGGAATAGTGCTAATACAAGTGCATAAAAATAAAAGTTAGACTCATGCGAACACTTATAAAAGTGTTATAAAAGTTGGACTCCTGAGAAAGTAGAATCTTGCAAACAAACGGTTTATATTCCGGTCACTTTAAATGCTTCTTTAGTATTCATCTTATCCTATCTTATCTATATGTTAAGTAGACTGTATGGTGCTTTCAAATATAGAATAAATAAATCCTTTTTTTTTTAAGTTGAACCGGTTTTAAACTATACTGACAACCAAGAGCACTAAAACCCTAACAGGAACATGATCTATATGAAATTTCAATGTGACCATGTAGGAATAAACCTCTATATATGATAGAGTTATGCCTGAACGTACATAAAATAATATTTATAAACATTCGAATTGAAAACCTCCTCCTTTTTGAAGTCAGTTAAAAAATAGTGGTAGCTGTGTTATTTGTTATTATAACTTACCTATTTTTAACACCATACTCGAATCATTAGTTTAGTTTTAACAAATAAATATGTTTGTAACTTATGCAGAGTACAAACAACTGTAATTCCTTATATGGATTCGGAGCCGGAGAGCCTTCCTGAAATAAAGAAGAATATTTCTGGTCACGATGCAATCATCTGGAATACGAAGCATAAACTAACTAAAGAAATTTTGGACTTGGCAGGTGAGTTGTTAGAACATCGAGGCCAAGAGCGATATTTCACCGAGGTTTTAATTCGCGCGATTTTTTTTTCTAAGCCCTAAGCTGTTATTAGTTTTATGGACTCTGTAAAATGTATTGACTAAATGTATTTCATCTCACTTTCTCTGCAATTTGTGGGTGAGCTCATAAAAGGGGACGGAAGTGAGTTACAGGGAGAGCCGAGAAAATGCGATTATTTGATTTGACTAATGACGCACGGTGCGGTGTTAGAGTTAGCCGTCAGATAATGTGTGAGATGGCAGATGTGCAAGGCTTTTACGTGTTTAACTACCTGAATTATTGTAGATCCAACTTAAAAAAATTTAAAGCGCAATCTCCTGTAAGCCTGGTTTCCACCGCGAGCGGCACGAACCCGTTAAACTCGCAAGAGTAAACTGCATACTTTTATTCCCAACAAGAATTAGTCAGGTGGAAAGGACTGAGCTAGCAGAAAGAGTTGAAATGGTCTCGCTCAGTTCTAGGGAGTAGAACGGAGTATCTACAGAGTCAGTTCGTCTCACTATATTCTTTTGTAGAATGAAAAGGGTGAGGGCGGGTCGAACGCACACGGGGGGGAGGTCGTCCTAGGGACTAGGGTATGTTGTGTAAACCAAGCTATACTAGTCTATGGCACTTAACTTTACTATAGTCTATGAACATCCGTACACATCCTGTCATGGCAGTCGTTGATAAGACCTAACCATAAGTAAAGTATAATAAAACAAATTACCTAAAAGTGTATCTTTGAATTATAAATTAGAACATGGCGCAGTCTAGGATATTTTTTGGGCTGAATATTATCAAGAATTATTATTAGTATCTGCAAATCCACAGTTAAGTGTTGGATTAGATTGGATTTGATAGTTATTGCCATCAAGACTAAACAAGCTCAGAAAATGGCGTCAGTGAAATTGCCTCCTAATCTGAATTTGCAAAGTGAAAGCGCAGCCAGTGAGTTTAAATTTTGGCTACAGCTTTTCGAAGACTATATGGTGGCGGTGGGAAAAAATGCGGCTGAAGACAAAGTCAAGCTTTCTCTTTTACTAAATATGATGGGGCCAGAGGCAGCTCGTATTTTACAGACATTGCCCATAAAAGATGAAAATGCAGAAAAGTATACAAATGTAATCGACGCGATAAAATTATTCGTATCACCGCAAATTAATAATAGCTTTGAGCGGTTTAAATTCAACGAGAGAAAACAACGATATGGTGAGCCATTTGAAATGTTTCTCACAAATTGCAGAGAGCTTATTAAAACATGTGAGTACAATGTAACATCAGATTCGGAGCCCTTAGAAAATCAGATTCTTCGTGATAAAATCGTGCATGGAGTGTATGACAAAGCTATTCAAAAAAATCTTTTACGAATTGAAAATTTAACATTAGAGAAAGCCATTCATTACTGCAGGACATCTGAACAGAGTAAAAAACAAGTACAGCAAATGAATACAAGCACCGCAGTAGAAGTGGACGTGTTGAAAAAGACGATTAACAACACATTTTCATGCATGAGATGCCAGAAACAACATGGTCCGAGACAATGTCCAGCATTCGGGAAGCGTTGTTCAAAATGTGGGATACTCAATCATTTTGCAGTCAGTTGCAGAAAGATACCCCAACATGCCAAGAAAGTTAAAGAAGTAAAATTTGATGAGAAGCCCGATGACACCAGCAGTAGTGAGGAGTTGTTTTGCGGGATGACCAAATTCAAGGATACCTGCTCCAACGATTGGTATGAAAATATAAATATTGAAAGTAAATGTGAAGAAGATAAGACAGACTATAGAGAAGGAGTTATGCAATACAATAATACTCCACTCTCAGGCTTAGATGTTACACCTTCTCAAATACTGAATAGTAGAAATGTGAGAACTTTAGTACCAAGTACAATGTATTGTTTAAAACCCAAAATACATAATGTATATAAACAACTAGTGTTAAAACAATCTATTACTAAGGAACATTATGATAAGAGAGCCAAGAGATATGTTACTTTTAGGCCTGGTGATCATGTAGTATACAGAGAGGGAGGAAAGTGGCTAAAAGCTAAGGTTGTTAAGCATTCTAAAGAGCCTAGATCTTTTGTGATTCTTACTGACAGTGGATCATTTTTAAGACGCAATAGTTCTCAATTAAAGTCCTCATTTACACGGAGTAAAAATAATGTATTTAAGTCTGATCCTTTGATCCCTTTGATGTATGACAGGAATAATGTTATTATTAATGAACCTTCTACACCCAGTAATAATGAACCAGTTGAACCGTGTAATGAACCTGGTGATGTAAATGACAAAACTGATTTTCCGTTGAAATTGTCCAGGAGTGGTCGTGCTATTAAACCACCCCAGAAATTAAATCTTTAGGAAGGAGGTGTTGTGTAAACCAAGCTATACTAGTCTATGGCACTTAACTTTACTATAGTCTATGAACATCCGTACACATCCTGTCATGGCAGTCGTTGATAAGACCTAACCATAAGTAAAGTATAATAAAACAAATTACCTAAAAGTGTATCTTTGAATTATAAATTAGAACAGGGTATACCTGGTTCTCCGGCTATTAGTACCCGAGACGGCGTGCGGTTTTAGTCGGTTCGAGTCTGACATGCCACCGATAGGTGGTATCCGAGGGGATTGCTGCACGGAAAAAAAAGGGCTGGTCGAACGAGTAAAAAGTGGGTGAAACGTGTCCGTTAGGGCGAGTCAGTACAAAACTCCTTGTTGGTTTAAATGTAAACCAATTTCTATCCCCCTTGTATACAGCGACAACGTTCACTTGCGCGCACAAAAATTTCAATAGAGTTACATACACGACTGAACACTGACTCCTAAAATATATATAACAATAGCATACGCTTAGTTTGGGCGACAGTATCAGTACCTAAAGCACAAACATTTATTTTTGTCTAATTATAAGTCACCTTGTGAAATATATTTTGGGACCGTATAAGATTTTTATTAGATTTTTTTTTACTATTATTTACTGGGAGTTCGTCCCATGTAATCATTTCCCTCTCATTACACTTTCGCTGTGGCAACCCAGCCAAGAAATAAAGTTTTGCCCCGTTCCCAAATGGACATTAGAGTATTTGCGAAAATGGCTTGAAAATTATTTAGTATGTTTTTTCTATGTACCCAGGTCCTCAACTAAAAGTAATCTCAACAATGTCATCGGGCACTGACCAGACGGATATCGAAGAGATTAAGAGGAGGGGCATACGCTTGGGTAATACAACTAAAGTGCTTGATAATGCCGTGGCTGACATCACAGTAGCTTTGATGATTACTGCCGCAAGACGGTTCAAGGAAGCTGTGCATGAGTTGGAAAGGTATCTTAACTATTATAGCTAACCCTTTCCACCTTAGGTACTCAACCGATCACTATAAAATTCTTCATACACGTTACCGTAGACTTTAGGTAGCGCCCAGAAAAGGTAATATTCCTGGGGGATGGCAAATAAATTAAAACCATCGTTGCATTCGTTGCAGTTGACAAAATTGTAGAAAATTATATCTGTGACCAAATCCACGATTTCTACCACAAACACAATATTATATATTCAAAACAATTTGGATTCCAACTAAGAAAGAGCACTCAGATCTTGCAAAACTTTGTTGACGAGGTCAAAGAACATCTTAAAGAGAAAAAAGTTGTGCTGGCTCTCTTCATAACTTTTCTCGGGCATTTGACACACTTGAACATAAACAGCTCACAGAAAAACTAAATATCGACCGATTTTAAAATGGTGTAAAAACTACTTTAACAATCGAGCGTACGCCGTGAAGATAAATAACACATGCCAAAGACTGCCTTGGTGGTGCAGTGATAGCGTATGCGACTGCTGTGCTGAGGTCTCGGGTTCGATTCCCGAGTCGGACCAAATATTTGTAAGATCTGCAAACATTTGTTTCGGAGTTTTCTATGTATATTATGTAAGTATGAATTTACAAAAAAAGGTTGTAAGTATTCTATCAGTTAATCTAGCTTTCATAGTACTAGCTCTACTTAGTATAATAAAAGATGTAAGAATGTAGTAATAATAGAATAATATAATAGTAATGATTTAATAAGGGAGCAAACTACGCAGGCGACAGCACTGCTAAGAGAAGGAAAATTTGAAACAAACCCTATACCAAACCGTTTGGCCAGCGAGGTCTAGTAGGCCAAAACCTCCTTTCTGAGGAGAGGCCTATGTCCAGCAGTGGACTGTTATAGGCTGTTGGTGTCGTGAATGATATAATAATAGAAATATTATTATTACATCACATAGCATCTACTGAAGGCACGGCTCAAAGCTTGGTTCTAGGTCCAATACATGTTTTATCCTACTTTAACATCATGAGTTATATCGTTGTAAAATGCTGTTGGTATCAATTCGCAGACGACACCTGTCTTTTGATATCGCACAAAGACCATAACAAAGCCCTAAAACGATTACAGACGGATTTTGACAATCTTAATAAAATGTGCCACGACTCAGAACTTGTCTTGAACTGCAGCAAAACTAAACTCCTGGTTATAAAATCTCCATACCTCAAAACTACACATTTAAAAAAATTGTAGCACGGGAACATAATTGTTTACATTCTTATATTAATGCCCTATGCAAGTGTCCCTGTATAGAAGTTGTTGACAACCAAACGTATTTAGGCCTACACATAGACAGCATATTTAATTGGAAGGTTCACATCGAATATGTCTGCAACAAGTTGAGGCAATTCCTGGCCAACATGATAATAATAAAAAATCGAATCCCTTTTAAAGCTAAATTACTGCAATACAATTCATTAGCATAATTCTACATACAATATGGTCTTAGTTCCTTCGGACGTACATACAATACTTACCTTAATGAAATATACAACATCTGAGTAAGAATCCTGAAAATATAGTTCCCAAAAATATTCGAAACCAAAGGTCATCGTTATATTGGCTTTGGTTTGACGTGGTCTTTTCAAACACTGAAAGACATTACCGGTTCAAACATAAGTAAAATATGTATTTAAAAAGAATATTACTTTGGCACGGAAATTAAAAAAGAAATCGGACACTGTATACACGCGTACGGTCGCCTAAAACCAGTTTTGCACAAAGTTCGCTAACAACATAACTTGTATGGCGAAAGAACGACTACCTACCTCTTTCCTCGTTTGATTATCAAACTACCCACTGACTTACATAACCCGAATAATATTAAAAATAAACTCAGGTCATAGTTCATAGGTGGACATAGGCCTCTCCTTAGAAATGAGGTTTTGGCCTACTATACCACGCTGGCCAGACGGGTTGGTATAGGGTTTGTGTCAAGTTTTCCTTCTCTTTGCAGTGCTGTTGTCCTGTGTAGTTTGTTCCCTAAGTCAGCTCTTACGACACCCACGGGATGAATAGGGATGGTGACACTCCGTATTCTTAATCCGTCACCACACGAACAACAAACATCAGCAAACGTGTACCAAAAAGCGAAAGGAACTTTATTCCGATCGGGGGTCCATAGACCCCTCACGCCGGTTTTGTATTTCATTCATGTGCTTAATATATACAATATATACTAAATCCTTTATACTATGATTATACTATTTATGATTGATTATAGTCTACAATATTCCAGCGGTCAATGGAAGTATGGCGTCCAGTGGATGCTAGGTCAGGATGTGGCCGGAAGCACCGTGGGTATCATTGGTTTCGGCGGTATCGGACAGGCGGTACTCCGGAGACTCCGTGGATTCGATGTCGCGCGGTTCCTTTATAGTGGAAGGACCGATAAACCTGAAGGTTTGTATTATCAGTAAAGTTCAGAATTTGGTGAAGGAAGAACACGCGTTTCTCTAAGATCGCTCAGAAATAATATGTCAATTTTCATCCAGCGCGACCAGGTTTAAACGTCGACCATTTTGTTTCAACTATAGTTTCCTACTCCACTAGTTGACTTTTAAAAGAAAGACAAATCAAATGTAAAATTTTAATGCAATAATTTTATCAAACTTACCTTCTGATTTCAAGCAGTCATATATATTTTTAACTTACTTTAATAAAGTAACTTTAGTAAAGGACTAAAATAAAGGAGGAGGTTTTCAATTCGTTTGTGGTTTTTTAATGTTTTGTTACCATTTTAATTTGAAATAAAATATCTCCCCTGACGGTGGAAAATTAAGAAATAAAGAATATAGTTTATTACAATTCATCATAATGTAGGAACACTGAAGTCGTTGATATTTTTTTAAATGTAATTATTATCTGTCAATTTATTATCACCTATTCGCACATTCGGTTCTATCACGCATCATGTCAATAAATTCAAATGTTCTTAGCAAAGACTCTCGGCGCTGAGCGAGTGCCCTTGGAGCAGCTACTCAAAGAGAGTGACTACGTGTGCCTCTGTTGCCCTCTGAGCTCAGAGACCAGGCACCTGATCAATGCTGACACACTGAAGCTTATGAAGAATACCGCCGTTTTAGTTAACATCGCTAGAGGAGGTATATCCTTATAAATAATCCTTTTATTTTTTGAAAATCCTTTGGGATTTAAGGTTATATGATAAAAAAATCCTACCGCCTTCACAAGCCTTTTAACGATTAGAAAGGAATTGATACTCTTTGAATGATTGTATGGTAAATATTAATAATAGCTAGGTATATAACACAATTGAACGGTCTTGATCAAGATTTACGTGGGAGAGTCATGCTTCGGCACTGGAATGGGCCGGCTCGACCGGAGTGATACTACGGCCTCACAGAAAATGTTAAGCAAATCTTTCGTTGCCTTTCACTGAGTGAATGAGGTTAACGGAGCCAAATCCCCCCCCCCCCCCCCCCCCTTGACTCGGAGCCGGTCTATAAATATTGCATTTAAAGTTGTCCTGTAGTATAGTCCTATCATAATAATAGTATAATTATTTACTCCACACTGACACCACATTAGTAGTATCTACATTGCACCCGTGCGAGGCCAGGACGGCTATAAACTTAAGTATAACGTATAAATATCCTAGTTCTAAGTATTCTTCTGACTTATATTTATAATAAAGGCGAAAGTACTAATAAGGGACTCCAAGGGCAGCAACGCACTTGTGACTTTTGAGTTGCAGGTGTCCATGGGCGGCGGTAGTAGCTTACCATCAGGTGACCCGTCTGCTCGTTTGCCGTTTTTACCATAAAAAAAAGACACCTTTTCCTCCGACCGCCGGTGCGGCCTCTCAGGAAATCGGTATTAAGCATTGCGGTGCTTTTCATCGACCGTGTAAGATTCCCGGAGCCCAAATCTCCCCTCCTCTTGATCTCGCGTTGGCTCAAGATGTAGCGGGTGATGTTATGGCTAAATAATTAAAAAACTCTATTGTGAAGAAAGTAATAAAAATATTCTCTGTTAATTAAATTAATTAAAAACTGTTAATTAAAAATTAATTTCGTACTTCCTATAACTAACGTTCTTTTCTGAAACCTCAACCTTTCTTTATTGGAAGGAGCACATGCATTTTGTCCGTGTGGTGACGGATTAAGAATACGCAATTTCACCACCCCTATTCATCCCGTGGGTGTCGTAAGACCTGACTAAGGGAACAAACAGCACTGCAACGAGGAGGCATTGACACAAACTCTATACTAACCCGTCTGGCCAGCGTAATATAGTATGCCAAAACCTCCTTTCGAAAAAAGAGGCCTACGTCCAGCAGTGGACTATTGAAGTCTGTTGATGATTGATGATGAACCTTAGGATGCTGCAGAGCTGTGTGTGGTAGGTGTATATTTCAAGCAACTACTATATTTATTCTTAACATGTGATACAATAAAATTTGACCACACACATACACTATACATATACACGATACGTAAACAATACAAATTTTTTTTGTTTGGCGACTCCCGTATTAGGAATATATCCTGTGTCACAAGAGACTTTACAAACATACATGAAACGGACACAAAGAACACCTAGACTCAGAACAACAATTTGAGGATTACACAATGTGTCGTCTCATCTGGGGTTTGAACCCACAGTAATAGGATCGCTTAAATCACTGCGCTATCCGTGCAGTCATACTATAAAAATTATAGATTAATTAATTTTTCTTAAAGAAATTGTGGACCAAGAAGCTTTGTACGTGGCTCTCAAGGAAAAGCAGATCTTCGCAGCCGGGTTAGATGTGGTCACGCCTGAACCCTTACCAAAAGATCATCCGTTGTTATCCTTGCCGAACTGCTGTAAGTTTTTTTTTTTTAACTTAACCTACTCGTATTAGCTTGCAGATGCTTTTTACACGCTTTATATTAGCTTCACTTGTATGTTTGTTTGTATGTTTGTAACCGACTCCTTTGGGCGTGATTTTGACTGACTTTAAACGGTCAGAATTCGTTCAAACTTTGTAGATATATCGAGGACCGATGACAATACAATAATTAAAAAAAAAAAATATGAAAAATTATAGTTTTAAAAACCAAAAAACACGCTTTCTATAACCTATAAATATAAATATTCTAAAACCAAACTAAAAAATAGGTTTGGTTTTCCATAGAAAGCGCGTTTTTTAGTTTTTAAAACTATAATTTTTTTTATACATAAATTATAGAATTAGAGATCAAATGACAGTCGAATTTCGAACGTTTTGAATGTTTTATTGTTTCATAGACACTAAGTATAACTTTAACTGTCACTGGATAGGTTTCTGTACCATGAGAGGTTAAAACATATATTGATAATATTTTTGGACATCTGACACACAACGCCATCTAGTTTCAAACTAAGCAGAGCTTGTACTATGAAAGGTAGATAAATATAGTAAGTAGGTACATAGAAAACATCCAAACTCCGAATCAAATATTTGCAGATCATACAAGCACTTGGAATCAAACCTGAGACCTCAGCGCAGTCGCATACGCTACCACTGCAGCTGCCGCTCCACCATACAGGACCGCTATAATCTTTTCTACCTGTTTTTTAATAACCTTTCACTTTATATCACATATTGTTTTCAACTTTTGGCTTTTGTATACATCTTCTACATAGAAATGCGAATTCCAAATGTGATATTGCGCTAGGGAACAAATAATTTTCTTCGCGCATTAATATTTAGAGAATATAAAGTTATATTAGTAATGTGGACTACAAGATTTAATGAATTGATTTAATTATTTGTGTGAACAGTCAGACAAAATCATGCTTTATGGGAACAAAATAACATAACCGACATAACCACCGGTGGGTGGTATCCGCACAGAAAAAAAATAGGGTATAAAATAAAAAAGATAATAATATTTCTTAAAGATACGTGCGTTTTTAAGCGACTTCAAAGAGCAGGAGGTTATCAATTCGAATGTTTTTTTTAATGTATGATCGGGCAAAACTCTCTCATATTTAGATGGATTTACGAATATATTTTTTTAAAAGGTTAATCCGAAACAGTCCCATTTAAATTTGAAATAGATCTGATGATGAGTTTCGGAGACAGACAACGAGAACTCATCAAAAAATCACAGCAAATCAACCGCGATTTAGTGCTTTTTGTTAGTATTGTTTGAAGTCGGTTAAACTTTTTTAAAAGGGATTTATTGGGGGTGCTCGATCCGTTTTGAACCGAACGGGGACCTTTATCGACGTATAAAACGACATGCGAAATAGTGTCACACTTTGCACTCTCAGAGGTCGTGAGTTTGATTCCCACCTAGCACAAATATATCTAGGTGTGTTATCTATTTTGATGTATATATTTAGAAATATATAAGTATGTTCATCAGCAGTCCAGTTACCATAGTACAGGCTCTGCCTAGTTTCAGGATCAGAGACGGCGTGTGTCAGATATCTAAGATTATTATTATTATCCCTGAAATATATACGTGAGTGAAATCGTTTCTTAAAATAAACGATACAAAAAGGCCTTCTCACTTATTTTGTTTTTTTTTAATGTTACTCGTTTCTATTAAAACTTATGTATGTTTCCAGATGTCGTACCACACTTGGGCAGCGCTACAATTCAGACTCGCAACGACATGGCGACAATAGCGGCCCACAATGTTTTATTGGCACTGGAGGGCAAGCCTATGTTGTCTCCAATATGCTAATGTAACTTATCGTCGCAAAAAATAAATAACAACGGCGTGAGGGGTCTATGGAGCCCCGGTTGGTACGAAGTTCCTTTCGCCTTTCGGTGGACGTTTGATAGTGTCGAAAGAAATTCTTGTTACACATTTTTCGGTCTCATCTCATTCGTTCAGAGCGTGTAACGCGCGATAAAGAACTTCGTTCCAAAAAAACAATTAATTTAAAAAAAAAAATGTATTTACGACTAATGACTGGTTGTTTTTATACAACTTATGCATTAAATGTATGACAGGCTTGTTAATCTAGTGGTTAGTTACTTTGATTGCTAAGCCGGAGGTCGTGGGTTCGATTCCTACCCAGGACAAATATTTGTGTGATGAGCACTATTATTTGTTCCGTATAATCTGGGTATAATTTATCTATAATATGTATTTATTAATTTATATATATGTTCATCAGCAGTCATTTACCATAGTACAGGCTCTTGTCTAATTACAGGATCAGACGGCCGTGTATGTGTCGAGTAATTATTATTATTATTGTATAAAAAATGAATCTTTTCAATAAAAAAAACAATTTTAATTCATATAGTAAGTATTTATTTACAATGGCGTAATTTCTGTGCAATAACGATAAACTAAGGAACAAGAGTACCTATAAATGACTCACGGAATGGAGTAATAGCGTGCACTCCGATTGGTAGTACTGAAGACTTTGATGAATATTCGTAAAGCCAGGAATCGGGATTTACTCTTATGTGGCCCCACTTTGCTAATATAGAACCAATCACCAATCCATGCCTTAAATTGCCAGACCAACAACTGGAAATATCTTTAGGGTGTAATTTAGGTAATTTATTAAAAACGAAATCTTTAATATCTACATTATCTTCCTCGTAAAGTTTTTCTAGAAGGGTCTTAAGCTCATTAAAGTAATGTTCATCAAAAGAAAACATACACACAGCAGTAAATTGCAAATTATCTTCCATTAGACAAATTTTTTTAAACTCTTTTTTGCCCAGGATCTCATAAACTGTATTAAAAAAATTATAATTGTTTTTTAAAGCGGCGTAGTGAAGAGGCGTTAGACCATCAGGATCCCTTATACTAAAAATTTTAAAGCACTGTTTTTTAGTCAAATGCGGTAAGCTGTCCCATATATATTTAATTTCATATAAATCTGTACCCAACGAATGAGCCGGCGTAGTAAAGCCAAATTCATAATGCGAGGTTAAAATTGCAAACAACAGGTCGGGATCAAAATTTCCTTGTTTCAATACAGTCCGTATTACACCTTTCATCCCTAGCATAAGTTTATATGTTCCTCTTTTCATAGTTCTCAAACAGTATAATAAGTCTTTAAATTTATAAGTGTCAATATCTCCTACAAGCTTCACGAAATTATACACTGTAGTCTCTTTACGGTTTTTAATTCCAGCACAGATCACACAATGTCGTCTAGTTTGAATTGTTTTCAAAAAGTCCGATAAATTATCTGCGTTTATAAACGATTTAGCACTATTTAATAGAAATTCGATGGTCCCTTCTAAATTTTCATTCATATTAACTGACAAAGCTGTTTTTGTAAAGGAAACGTTCTGAGCTGATAATGTATTAAATACTATACTTCTGAATGCTTCTGTAGATTCTAAGTAAGTTACAATTTCCTTATTTCTTTGCAGTTTACTATTAATAAACCTACGGATGCCCACATATTTGTCATTTATCAGCACTTGATTTAAAAAATATGCTACACAGGTGATATCAAGAGATTTTAATTTATCAAAAATATGTTCAGCAGCATAATATTCTGCAAAAGTGTAGTGAACGAACTTAGGACGATTATCGATAGTGCATTCAATAATGTCAGATTTTTCTTCATTCAACTTTATGTTGTTTAAAAACCCTCGCACATTTTTAATTTCATATTCTGAAAGAGCAAGATCTTTGTCTAGAAGATAGTAAGCAGCACTTCTTTTGTGGTTCTTAACAAACAATTTAAATTCTCTATCTATAATTTGCCTCATATGTGGATCCTTCAAATTCATTGTTCGTTTTTTTTCACCAAAACTAATTTCTAAGAATTTGATGTTCGTGAATTTTTCATAAAGTGTAGTTAAATTTGTTGCATCGTTGAACATGCCCCCTTTTATACTCATATTTAAATATGCCTTATAATAGTCTTGAAATACTTCTGCGACCATGTACAAATGCAAAGGTAAACTTGCGAAGTTTTCTAGAACACCACCACAATTAATCCAATAGTCATAAAAGTGATCTACAGTTAATTCATCTATTCTGTCAGCTGGAACAAATTTTTTAGACCACATATTACGTAAAACTATTTTTTGCTCCATCGAAGTCAATGGACTTAAACTAAAAGGAAATGTTTCCAGAGCCAATTCCAACTGTGTGAGTATATTGCATGGCCTTGAAGTTATCCACAAATGTGCAATCTTTGAATTTTTAAGAGTACACAATAAGTTTTTAACTTCATTTGAATAATCAGGACAGATTTCATCAAATCCATCGACAAGTACAGCCAAACTGTTGTTATTGTAAAAATGAATGAGTAACTTCCGCTCAGAGAAGTCTGTACCTGGAAAGCTCTTGTTCTCGGGGTTAGAGAAAAATATCTGGTCACCGTTTACAGAGATTAACTTAGAAAATTCAGCATCTTCATTCATCTTCATCTCAAAGTCATCACTATTTACCAAAAGTTTGGTATTAATCGTTAAACTGCATAGAAATTTAAAAGCTTCTATCAAATCAATATTTGTCTTTTCATCTTTCCATTTGCTTAGTTGATTAATATTATCAAGCAAATTTACGTTTATTATCCAAAGATTTGGATGCAGTCGTTTTGTTTCCATTGCTAGGTGACTTAATAGTGTCGATTTTCCCATACCAGGACCGGAACTGATAATTACTATTTTGTCCTGTATATTATTTAATGTCTTAGTATGTAACATAAAATCTTTGTGTAAATCATTTTTAACGTATTTAATCAAGGTTTGCAGACTTCCTCTTGTTTTTTTCCAAATTAAGTTCGTATGTCCATTTCTTCTTCTAAACCAGTGGACATTGGATTTATTATAACTTTCGCAAATTTTCTGAAACATACTCTCTGATTCTGTATTTATTACTATATCTTTTCCTTTCTGTAGTACCATGTTCTTGGGCTTTTCGTCTTCTAAGTACCAAAATGTATCCTTGTGTTTATTTATATTCAGTGTTATATATCGACATAGGTGTCGGTCTACGAAAAAATCTGTGGTTTTACAATACACCGTATTATTTAACGATTGCCCTAATTCTATAGATTTATTGTAAATTATCTGTTGAAGTAATTGTGGACTGAAAACATTTAGAGAGGCATTATCAAACACAGTATCAACAGTCACATCTACTCCTTGAAATATGACTTTACTCTCAAGAATGGTGTTTCGAATGTTACAGGATAAATCATTGAAATTGTTTTTACTGTCTTTGTAGATATCAGGAACAACATTGAATATTGCTATTAAGTTCTGCTCAAAGCGACTATCAGCTATTATTATAATTTGACCATTGAATAATGTTATGAATTTTTCCATTGTTTTGCAATGGTTAGTAATATCGTTATGGTCTTGGGTAGTCAATATCAATACAGGATTTGTTGCGAGCTGTATCTCGTGTTGTAGAGTGTCTAATGAACTTTTAATAAGCATAGAATCCAAATGTATACAAATACAATCATGTGGAGCAATAATGTTATCAAAATACTGTATCACTTTTCTGCTTGAGAAATGAATCTCATCCGAAAGTATAATCAATACTTTTTCTTGGTTCTTTAAGAACCCATCTAATGGCAGAGAGCTGATGGCTTCAGAATCAAATTCTATACACATATGTTGCAATTCTTTTTTAAATATAAAATTAATGAAATTTATGAGATGAGTTTTTAGTATTTCCTGTTCTGCTTGTTTGTAGTAAGTGCAGGTTTCCGTCAAGTAAGAAGCAGAGGGTGTCTTCTTCCACCACTTCTGTATTTCATCATGAACCTTTAAGTATATTAGATCATTTTTTGCGAGAAAGAGAGAATTTTGTAGGTTATGTGGTAAATAACATACCTTGATTTCATTTTTTATTATTTCTTCCACCTCATTTTCTTGGGCCTGATTAGCATAAAATTTAAGTGCACCTAGGAAGTGTCTTACTAATTCCCGATCATGATTTGTAGAAAACAAAGTTGGTTTTGGGAAGCCGTCAATGTTTATATTAAATCGGAACTTACTGAGATTATAATGTTTTTTTAAATACCTTAAAATGTTTATGTTATCCGTCGATAAACTTTCCTCTACTAAATTAAACTTTAGTATTTCAGTTTCACCATCATTAATTAGTAAATTACCGACTAATCCTCCAAGCCAATGCTTTTCTAACCATTCTCTTTGAATAATTTTATGTGATCCGATGGAACTGTTATCTAGTTTAATCTTAGAATCTTGTTCGTCATCACATTGTAACAACATGCGAAATATGAAACACATGTGATTTAGTCTTTTTTCTTGTTTTCTTTTGTTTCCGTTAAAACGAAAAATTCGATTACCAAAGTCGATAGGTAGTTCAAAACGATAGGTTTCCAATATATCTTCCTCTTGTTGTTCAACAGCATCTTTAATATCTCTCAATTCATTACGTAGCACCTGTTTCATTAACGTTAAGTAGTCATCTTTACTTTTCAAAAAAGAATGACTAAATTTACCCGTGTAATAAGAGTTTTCTGTGTCTATCGAAGATGAATCACTAGATTTAATAATTTTTTCATCCTCTATAGATATTATATTTAGTGACAGAAAAACATGGTATTCTTTAATAATACAACAGTCCATTACCTTTTTATAATTTTTTTTTTTAATAAAATTTGCTACACTTTTTGCCAATAAAGAAACTCGCGATTTTCTGATACCTTCCAACAAATATTCCACTTCTTCATTATCACATTTTAATTGAAATACACTTTCTTCAGTTTTAATAACACTTTCGAAGTCCACAGATTTAGATAATTTATTTTCGGGAATATTTTCTTTAGCGGGGGTAAAAATAATAAATTCGACCTCAATATCTTCTTTTGGGCCCCGAAACATTACGCTGTTATCATCATTAAGGAGGATTTGTTTTATTTTTAAATAGCTTTCGAAATACTTTTGAAAACTAAAGTCACCATCTTTTTTAAAGATGCTATCGATAGTCAACTTATTTTTAGTGCGGTCATCTTTATGTTTTGCTTGTAAGAATATTATCTTTGATTTCCGTGAGCATTTCCTTTTGTATCTTAACACTATATCATCCAATGCACCTAAGCCTTCGATATTAGTTCCTATTACAAATTCCTCAATAGTATCATCATTCAAAAGTCGGTGTAAAATAAGAGTAAGTAACTTTGTTTCATAGAGTTGACCTCGAATACCGGCTGTGCCACTTCTTTTTCGGAATATATGGGATACTGGAGAGCTGTTTCTTGCTTCGATTCTTCCGCCTGCTACATTATAATTTTTAGATTGCATTGTGAATAGCGATTGATAATTATTGTAGCTAAATAAAATATTAAATGCGGTAGGTAGGTAACAATAGGTAGACTGTTATTGTTAACATTACGTTTCTTCAACTAATGAAACACTCCTGAAACAAAATGTTTTGAATGAAGTCTTGAAAATCACTCAAATACTTATATTTGAAGATCGATTATTTTACGAAAAGGAAAAAGCTAAACAGAGCCGATATGAATGTTCTGGTAAGGATTTTATTGTTGTAACAACTAGAACGAGAAAATGCAACAACGCTGAATTTACTGAAAAGCCTTTATATAAGTGGCATGTAAATTAACCTTCGGGTTTTTTCACATTATATTACGTAGGTGAAGAAACTACTCGGATAGTACATTGCATCCCTGAAAAATATACATACCTTTGTTTGATTCTAGAACTCATTCAACAAACTGCATTACGTACAATACCTACTCACTAAATATCATTTCAATTACGTTCTAATTCTATAAGTTGACTATTCAAATCATAATTAAAAAAAAAACAAAATTAAAAAATGTCTTTGTACGACAATATATTAACCTACAAATGTAACAAAGATATAATTATACCTAAAAAGAAACTTGCTACATCAAAGATAAGAACACGATCCAATATCTCTGCTGTTTATATTATAATCAATCTTCAAACGTTGAGATGGAGAGAAATTTACAATCACACATCTTAGGGATTGGATGCTGTTACTAGTCGCGTGATTGGGTGAGAATATATTATAATAGAATAAATAAGACTTACGTGTGAACCAACACAACTGTCACAATAACTATACGTAATAAAACTAAACACCTTTATCGTTATTATGATTGTGTTATCTGTTGATATAGTGTTTATGTTTTGACATTCCACTACCCACCGTTTCGCATGTGTGGTCATGGCTAACCATTTGCAAGCTGACCCCAACCTCGTGCATGCAGTTAGTGTTCTTTACTTGTATAGATTTGCGTTCACTACATCACGGTAGTAGAGTAAACTTTGACAGGTCGACCACACCGAATGATGAGGCGGTGCTAGTCAGATGCCAGGTGTTTCTGATGAGTTATGGCCTAAATGGTCACTGCTCCTACTTCCTTAGGTATATAGTATAATAATAAATGTCAAGAACTTAGTTTTATTTTTTAATTTAAGTGATTACTGTTCTGATTTTAACATGCTTGCTGCTACGGTGGCATCATTATTTTCAGTGTGTGACTTTGAAGACGGAGTTCACTGAGTTACATTATTAAAGGTACGGTCGAAGCCCAGGCTGTGGCAGAAATTGATCTCGCGTTGAAAGGCGAGGCTCCAACAGTCAACACGGAATTTACCACCTCGGACTTGCTAAGTCCGATCGTTTCACAATACATCTAAATGAAAGTTACTAACTAAAGTTAACGTAAGTGTTTACTTTCGTTACAATTGTACCTAAGTTGTAATTTATTCTTTAAATTGCGTATAAGTACAAAACAGAACTTAGTAAGTAACATTTATTTATAATCTTATAGTTTTGACTCAGTTAAGGATAACTGAGTCTCTTACTATGTGTACACACAGGACAGAACAGACAGGAATAGGAATAGAACAGTCTATTTTATAAACAAAAAATGGGAAAGATTTATGAACGAGATGATGTGATATGGTGATGATTATTGTTTCTTATTTGTGTACAAATACAGATCGACAATTACACGACATGTCTATAGTTATATATGTACTCGTACGAGGGTGGTCTGAAAAGTTTCAGACCTAACAAAGATACGAGACCTTTTTTTTTTTTTAACATAGTCTACTTGTAACTCTGCACACTACTCCCAGCGATGCTCCCATCTTTGTAACCCGTCCAAATAGTACTCGGAGTTTTTCTCTGCAAAAAATTGTTCACGAAGGTGATTGCCTCTTCATTTGATGAAAATGTCTGCCCTCCGAGCTTGGGGTTAGATCGGGTGAGTAAGGCGGATGGTCAAGCAGATCAAATCGTAATTCGTGGATTTTCGCCATGGCAACCGCTGAGGTGTGAGACGGTGCGTTGTATTATTGAAACAGGTTTTAATTTTTCATGTTGAATGTTCATTCGAACACGTTTTTAGTCTAACGTGAGCAAACGTGGCACCCAACACGTGGACAGCTTTCTCATCTCTAAATGTTATGGTTTAATATGTGACAAACACGTTCTTTTGATATGTTCATAACCTCTGCTATCTCTCTCACTTTAATTCGGGGGTCGTCTAGCACCGTTTGGTGAACTTTATCGATATTTTCGTCGGTAATTGCAGTTTTTCCCGAACGTTCATCGTTTCCTAAGCTCTTACGGCCACGTTTAAATTCAGCTGCCTAAAATTTCACCATGGTAAATAATGGTGCAGAGTCCCCATACACGGAATCCAACTCATCTTTGATTTGCGTAGGCGTATTGCCTTTCAAAAACAAATAGTTAATGACAGCTCGATACTCGATTTTATGCATTTTCATAAAAACACATCGACTCACTCAAACGACTGTTACATAACAACTGCGGGTCCAAAATGGCTCAAACTTTGGCGAATAACTGTCAACAGATGAATAACGAAATTCACTAAAGTGTTGTAAACTTCGGAAACTTTTTAGACCACCTGTGTATGTGCCTATATAAATAATGGAAAGCTAGGTATTAAAGATATATGTTATTGACTGGTAACGTATAATAACAATTGTAAATTTGTACGAGTATGAATAGGGCATTTAAGAACTTAAAGCAACGTAAAACGTGGTGTATGATATTACTTTATAAGCTTATTTTTAAAATATTGGTTATTTTATTATGAAGTTAGTAACTAGCTAACCATCATATAGCTATCTAGCGCTCAGTAGCTAAATTTGAATTGTACATTATTGCGATAGTCAATTCATAGATGGCGCTATAATTTAGAAATTCTAAGAGTGTCTAACTGGTTATTTATTTATCATGTGATTATTTATATATAATCGTGTACCGTCAAGTATCGTCCGTCCAATCAACACGAAATTTTGCAAACATGGCTCCAGGCATACAGCAAAGGGTTAACTTTCGTCCAGTAAAAACATTAACGTCCAGTATATTCTCATGGGATTTAAAGAAAATACTTCTACACGAGCCGAAAGTAGTGTAAAATACCAAGCCTTATGTTTAGCTTATCACCAGATATTTAGAACGACTAAACTAATAGTTTGACACTTGAATATATTGATCGTTATATTATATGTAAATAATACTGCTATAATCTATTAAGATCTTGATGAATAAGTTCACAATCGAGACTTGATCGAACATGCAAGTAGATTTTCATGTCATCCGCGTATTTTATTATTATTATATATCATTATTTAGTATTATTATCTTATTATTATGATCGCGTATAATGTACAATACAACTTTGCAAATACTTTCGTGTCTACAATTCTGCATGAACTTTTTAAAATAGTCGTATATTATCAAATACTCGTACAATCCGACTTTGAGAGAATGACATGCAAAGAAATTGTGTTGGTAGTGGAATGAGCGGTCTTAAACTCGGTTGGATTTTACGAGGGTTGAAGTGCTATCGACCGTTATTGGCGCCAAAGAGGCGACGGTGTTTCCGTGGAACCTCTGAACGGTAGTTTCGATTGCTGCGGTAGGTGAGTAAGTAATCGGCATTTGTTACTGTTTACTATTTTTTATTAGTTACGGGTAACATATTGCATTCCCCTTAATATACTCCCATTTTTTCAATCTGTGATTTCCAACAGGCAAAGATATTCCAAATAGCAAAGGGCCCGCTCAAAATATATAAGTAAAATGTAAACATGTTATCGTCTATATTTGTAGGGTACATATTTTCCCTTCGAGGGTACACACGGAAGTATGAATATGAATGTATGTTATGTCACCTTAACGCCTTACCAAAAAGTCTATAGCCAACTGTTCGACAAAGGTAATTTCCGTTTACCGAATTCCGTTTGGCGCGCTCACCTGTCAAGGTGGGCACGTGCCGCGGCGCCACCGGCTTTTTGCGAGCCCTCCACAATAACACCTGTGGTGTATCAGGTGTTGGTTAGATCTTCTATAGTTACTTTGCATCTAGTACGCTCGGCATCAAATAATTTTAAATTAAATCCTAAAATTTTCAATCGGTTATCTGTGTTTAAGTTACAGGTGTCAACATGGGAAGCGGCAATCACTTACCATCAGGTGACCCGTGTGAACAAATAGTAATATTGGTAACGTATTTGCTCATCGGCTACTTTTTATCCCGGTGAAATTGAATCTTAATATCGATATTGACACAAGCAAATCGGTAAGCAGAACTTAGTAAGAAAATACATTGAAAACCACAAGTAATATGTACCTAAGCGTTAGAAAACAAACCGTTTGTCCCTTTATTACAGTTCTTTTTATGCTAAATGTTTTTATGCTGGAGCAAGTTAATGTGACGACACGGAGCCAACGGGTTACAGTATTCGTATCTATCTGCGAGAGGGGAATTCCAAATTTTTTTCACAATATTGCTATTCGGAAAAAAGAAATGTAAGCTCTAAATGCTTATACTGGCAACACTTCATAAAAAACTACTATTTTATAAAAATTAAATTTTTGGTGTGGCCGGTATAACGTACAAAATAATATGGATAATGATAAACCTACCTAGCAAACATTTTGGTTTTTATACTCGATTCGCAAAGACAGAATTTAATTCAATATTTGTAACGTGCACAAAAGAAAGTTTATAATAATAATGAATACCAAGTTTTTTTTTCAAACTTTTTTCTTTATATGTATGCCATTGTTAGCAATGAAAATATTTTGAAATTAATTAAGGAAATAATAGCAACCTAATGTGTATTTTTATCCTTTGACATTATTTGAACATTAAACCACTAAGCTACGATTTTCATCACTTTTACGTTAAATTGGTTTTCAATTTATTTATTGTTATAAAACTACAAGAATGAATTCGTTTTATAAAAATGTTAATCCGACTTCTAACAATAATAACAAAGAGCAATAAAACCTAGCAGCAATCACAGTTGATTTGCTGACAGTTATTTAAGAGTTCCGTTGTCTGTCACCGGAACTCAGCATCAGATCTATATAAAATTTAAATGGGACCATTTCGGCATAAACCTCTTTCGAACAAAAAAAATATTTTGTTAATCCGTAATGTATGACGGAGTTATACTCGAGCATTCATAAAAAACACATAAACATCCGAATTGATAACCTCCTCCTTTTTGAAGTCGTTTAAAAATTGCACGAAAACTGTTCTTAAAGAGGAATATTTCAACGGCTGCGGCTGTCCAAATTGGCTCCCAAATATGTTTGCTTAATCGTAACATCAAACATAATGAAAACGTCTTAAAGTTAAAATATCTGTCCCTAAATTACATTTTTCGAAAATAATTATTATTAGTTAACAAGTTAAGTTCCTAAATTCAAAAGAAATAGAAATGTTGACATTTCACTTTAGAAAATTACTGACAAATAGTCATAAGTGTAAAGGTCGCGTTTAATTTTACCAACTTAATAAATTATCTTCTCTTCTATGCGTATTACTTAATGCCATGAAAATAAGGCTTCAAATGTCGTGCAAAATTTTTGACTGTAGAAAATTTATAGTTTAACTAATGACACAAAATATTTAGGTAAAAACTTACAGTTAAATATTGAGTATTGGCAATATTAATACCAAGGCCTTAGATGTTTTTAAATATAGACTTTATGTTTCTGAACATAGGTTCCAGATTACTAATTTTGAATTTAGTTTTTTTTTTATCATTAGAAGCAAAGGAAGCCACATGCGCAACCTGCTGTAAGTCGTTAGTTTTTTTTATCGTAAGCTTCTTTGTAGACACAAATTCGTGTCAACACAAATTGACACAGATGTTCCACTAAATTATTTATTATTAAGGGTTGTAGGAAAAAATGTGCAGTTACTACCGCATGTTTAATTCCTCTAGTCCTATTGTTAACAAAAAATGTCATAAAGAAATTTTTGTTTGTTAATTTTACTGTAGAGTTCTTGATATTATGTCGTATCACTAATATTTAAACTGCTAGTCGAAATGAAATAATATAAAAGACAAAAGATAAAGTTGCCTAGTGGTGGAATTTCAATCATGATTTATTGAGTATTGTTGCCAACTGTTCTAAGGCGTAATTATATACCAGTTTAATTTGATCTATCATTATACAGCTTCTGTCTACTATCATAGGTCAACATAAATACAATTATTGTCGTAATTTCTTGTAGCCGCTGTCGAATAATTTATATTATTTATATTTATTCTATTTGTAAAATCAATTAATTGAATGTGAATACAATAATACACACCTACACTCCATCATATACATACCCATGTAATCATGTCAATGTAAAGTAATAGTTATGACTTCGAGTAATCAGTCACTTTAAATTAACCAACTCACAGATAGTACAAGGGGCCTACGTCATCTACATGCAATAGAAAGTTTATAATAACAAGTCAATATTTGGTAAATAAGAAGCGCCATCTATACTGTTACGTTTTGCACAAAGTTCACGCTGGCGAAGTCGCGCTGGGCAGCTAGTACTATATAAAGATGTTTATGGCATCAGACTATACGTTTGCCAATTCGCGTAGAAATGATTATACTTAGTGTTGCAATAAAATCGTGATTGAGGCGACCCTAGCCCAGATTTTATTATTTCAGGTAGTTACGATTTTTTTTTCATTGGAAACTTTAATTCTTATCTTATAGAAGTTTTTAATTTTTAACAATATGACAACATTGAATTTTATTTTAAAGATAATTGAAAGTTAATTTTTAAATCAAAACAAAGAATAAGGTTACTAAAAGAAGATATCCAGAAAGTGATTAAGTTCAAGTCATTAACAGATAAATTGCTTAGGTCAGTAATTAATAAGTATTTTAAATTTAAAAGCTAATGCGTCACGCAGAAAATCGAGGTGATAGTAGTTTTTAATAATAACTGACAGGTTGAGTTTACGTGCTTTGCATGCAGAAATTGTGCGCTAAAACATATGATTAATATGTACATATTTTCCAATAAAAAGTACTTAGTCTAGCCCATCATTATGTATCGATGTACCCATAACAAATGAATTTTTGATCATTCATCCTATAATAACCTATGTATGATGAGTGGTTATTTTCCTCTTTCAAGATAGTTCTAATACTTCAGTTCATTTGCCACGTTCACGCCAAAAATAACTAAGCTTTCCTCAGTTTCTGATAGTAATCATTTAGGTCTTTCAAAAAGTTCAGACCTTCATGTTTGAAAAGTCTGCTAATAAAAGTCTAGTTTGACCTTGTTGACGAGCTTTTGAAGTTCTGTACAAAGTGCGAATTGGAACCTTTTGGAATTGTCTCTCACAGGCTTCAATGTAGATGTATAAATGCTGAATTGCAAATAGTGATATATTATGGTTCGACTACTGTTTCACAATTGTTGCAAGTTAGATGAAAATTAAATAAAATGAGGCTTTATTGCACAGAAAGGAGTTTTGTTAGGATGCTACATGGTGTTTAAAATACACTTTTTGAAAAGGCCTTCGTTTATGTGGTATAAATAAATTTGTTAAAAAAAAAAAAAAAACTCTTAGACTTATTTCTACACTTAGTTGTTGTTGCTTTCTCATTTTATTATTGGATTTCACAGCCTTATTACAAGTGCCGTTTTTAACTACTCTTATGAAAGGGTTTTTAAACAATTTGACAAAGTGGAGAGTTATAAAAGTAGAGTTTTGGTTAGCCCAAAACTCTACTCTCGCTGGTATTTAATGTTTCTATTTCTATGTCTACTCATCATTTTCATCTCCGTCATAGGAAATCCATTACTAAGTATATTGTAAATATAGGAGAGCCATGTTTTGTGTCAGCTCGACCAGAGTGGCACCACAGCCTCACACAAAATTGGTGTTCAGCAATTTTCTGTAACACGTCACCAACTGAGTGAGGTTACAGGAGGTGCAACGGGAAGTCACTTGCCACCAGGTGATATGTCTGTTTATTTGTACCCTAAACTATAAATCTATACAAATAAATGAAATTAAAGTGCAATATCAAATTAATAGGTTTTTTCATGCTCACGCAGTTATATGCACAATACCTATGCCTAAAAAACAGTTTAACTGTCTGTCTGTCTATTTGTTCCAAGTAATCTTCAAAACGGCTGGACCGATTTTGATAATATTTTATTACCAGGTAGCTGTCTAAATAAGGAGTCAATTAGGCTATTTTTTCTCTAAGAAAAACCCACTAAGTCAGTCAAATTCCATGCAAACGAAGTCACGGGCACATGTTAATGCAATATTAAAAAACAAACTGCATTCTTATCATCAGCTTTGCTTCCTTTAATGTTGATTTTGTTAATTATGTTTTCAAGAATAATAAGAAGCCATTTCAGCTATTGCAGATTATAATCTAAAACCCAAGTTCCAGCCTTATTAAGTAACAAATGTCTCCCCAAATATTCATATTTATAATAGTAATAGGGATTTTGTCTTAATCACAAATCTGGAATTAGTAACACTTTAAAAGTGTATTGTGTAGTGTTAAATGTTACGGACCCCAATGATTTTTTCCACTGTTGTATTTTTACTTTAATTTTAGTAATAGTGGTCTGAAATCAGATTTTAAAATTTCATATTTTTACTTAATCTAATAATTCAACATTATGTATAATGTTCGCCCTTTGGCAAAGACCTCTCCTAACTTTTTTTTACAGTCTAATTTTCAACTGTTCTAGTCTTTACTTTGACGTCATTGGCCCAGTATTGGGACAGACAGCTTTGTTTACGTATTTTGCCTTTAAGAAACCAGTGTATGATCTTCTTGCTACTTTTGTCTGGTCCTCTAATGATGTATCCTGCAAATTACACTCAAAAGATACAAGTGCATTGATACCCTTTCTGGAATTTGGAATAATGCCAATAAATAAAATGGGTGATTCATGTTCTGAATTTGTCAAAGATTTTTCTAGGTTTGTGGGACATGACTAATCTTGTTTTGCGATTTTTCTATAGAAGTAAAGAATATTATTCTATACTCCATCTTGAATTGAACATACAAGTAGATATAAATTTATCTATGTTATAGTTTACCAGTTTGTGGCTTATCTCATCATTGGCTTATGGCCTTTTACTCTTATTCTGAGATAACAGTGATTGTTTCTGTCTTTGACAAATATATAAAAAGAAGGAAATTCTCAATTTGCTATATTTTTTGTTTTTCTTTTCTGTTTTATTTCCTCAGAACTCCGTCATTTCTCTCGCTCTCTCTCTCAACTCTTTTTATCAGTGTGAGGTTAGCCATTTTCTCAGGCGATCTAAAGTCGGCCGCGTAGTTGTGTTTTTTGTGTTGCAGGTGTCCATGGGCGGCGGTGGTCACTTACCATCACGTTACTTTCACTTATATCGCCTCAACTATTAATGTATTCTAAAATTAAAATCATACACTTGGTCATCATGCCCATCCGAGCGTTAATCCTGGTTGCGTCTGACGACGCCCGGGACTCTTTCCGACTCTTTTTCCTCCACTTTGCACGGTCTTCGGCATCCCGCGTTGTGAGAGCATTCTTCCCCTCCTACTGGAGCCCGGCTGAGGCTGCATGGCCAGATATTTGTTCCCCACGTAACTCGGCGGTTACCTCAACACAATACCACAGGAGGCGACACTCTTGCGACTTATCCGCAATGTAACACACACAACAACAAACACACACCGCGGATGCGGGAGTTCCTTACGGTCCTTCCGCGTGACTCCACACATCCACCGCAACATATTCATCTCCGTGACGCTCTAATAACGGCCACGCCTTACAGACATGCAAAAAGACAGGTCTGATGTCGGTTTTAAAGACCTGTTCATTCGACCTGACCAGCATTTTGAGGTCACCAAGGACACCAGCCATCTCAGGCCATTTGGCTGCTGTGCGTACCTTGACGTTGTAATCGATGTCACCGGATGTGTGACATACAGATCCCAGGTACTTAACCTGGTTTGTGGTCACGACTAAGTCACCGCCTATGCGGACGGATTGACAGATCTGTTGAGTTTAACGTCAAATTCTCGGTTTTTGCCAAATTAAGCTTAAAGTCATACACTTGGTAACTCATGTATTAATCAATCTAACTTTCATAGTACTAGAACTGCTTAGTTTAAAACAAGATGGCGTTGTGTGTCAGATGCCCAAAACTATTTATAGAAAAAAAGTAAAAAAAGTTTCTTTAAAGCCCTCATTACTACTACTCGGAGACCTTTATACTCCTTTTTAAGTATACATAGAAAATAAAATGTTTAGTTAGGTGACGATTTATGTAGAAGTAGTGCACAAATGTAAAACCTGAAATAACGTGAAAAATATTATAAAAATCTGCAGGAACCCAGGCACAGGACGTGTCAAAAGTCTAAAATGACAGTTACAGTTAAAACAAAGCAATCGTGTTCTTAGAAGTATTAACGATAATGAGAAACTCGACCTTGATATATAAATAAATAATGGTAAGTATCTATAAATGTATTAATGAATTAAAATTGTTTCAGATTTCAAATACTTGTAAAAGTGGTAATATGGTTTTATAAAGAAGCTACAATGGTTACGCGATTTTCAACAAAGTTCCACAATGCAGTCACAACCCTGTACCAGCAGAACCCTAGATAGAGCGGATAGCATATTTAATATATGGCTCCCTGGTATTAAAGACAACAATATTCAAGAACAACCAGATGCTGAGCAATCCGCTTCAAATTCAAATACCCAATTTGATATAGTAAACGAAATACAGAGAAATACAAGAAAAAATGAAACCCCGCAAAAGAAAGAAAAGGAGCCCAAGCAAAAAAATAAATATGTATATCAAAAAAGACCTGGAACATCAGGTATCTGTGGACAATTATACGAAACTAAACTATTGACTCTTATTTTACTAAGAGCTTTGAACAATAATGATATTATAGAATTTCTTCTCGGAACTAACATTTATGACTTGGGGGCAATGGATGATATAGTTTTAAGATACAAGAAAAAGTACTCACAAAAATCAAAGATCATATTCATACAAGCTAAACATAGAGAAGATACAAATAAAGAGAAGTTAACTCTCGAAGACATATTTAAAGCAAATGGAGATTTTAGTTTCCAAAAATATTTACAAAGCTATTTAAAAATACTACAGATTCTTCATTCAGGTAAGAACAACCAAATGTTTCAAAACCAGAACGATGTTGAATGTGATTTCATAATATATACGCCTATTACACAAAATATACCAACATCAAAAATCTTACAATCTTGCGATTGCGATGTTGAAACTCTTATTAACACTAGCGAAAACGGAAAAGTATTTAAATTTAAATACGATGATGAAGACGTTGAAAGGTTGTTAGTTAGTGTACGCAAATCACGTGTCATCCTGTTGGCGAAAAGTGTAGCAAAAAACATTGTACAAGGTAATTTTAGGAACATAATGAAAATCGATATCATTAAACAATATCATGTTTATCTAGCGCAAAACGTTTTATTGATAGAAGATAGTGAAACAATTCAAAAAGTAGGCGATTTGTGTGTAAGTAACAAAGAAAATTGTTATTACAATGGCAAATTTAGAGAGTCATTTTTAACAAGTAGCGATGAAAATTTATTGCTTATGAAACAGGTGCTATGTGAGGAATTGGGTGTATTAAAAAATACACAAATGCCCATGTCTGACGAAGTAGACAACAAATTGAAGGACATTTGCTTTAAATTACCAGTTGACTTTGGAAATCGTGTTTTCTGTTTTTACGGAAGTAATGAAAAACAGCAACGTCGACTGAATCACATGTGTTCCATTTTTACAAAACTCTTTCAAAACATTTTTAAAGAAGATATAAATTATAAATATGTCAAACTTGATGAAAGTTCAATCGGACCTGATAAAATTATTCAAGCGAAAGACTTAGGAGTATGTTGGTTAGGAGGATTAGTAGGTAATTTACTTATAAATGATCATTTGACTAAAGCACTTAAGTTTAATTTAAGTGAAGAAAGTCTATCCGCCGATAATATCAAAATTTTAAGTCAGCTGAAAGAGCAGCATGATCTCAGTAAATTCAGATTTGATATAAATATTTACGAATTGCCAAAATTGACATTGTATTCTATTGAACATGATAAAATACTAATAAGGGACTTCTTGAGCAAGCTTAAGTTTTATACTAATCAAGCCAAAGAAGATGAGGTGGAAAATGTGATAAAAAATGAAATAAAATTCTACCATTTGCAACAGATATATCCAGATTCTCTCCTACATATTAAATCTGACCTAATATATTTAACGTTTCATGACAAAGTACAAAGATGGTGGAAACAACCACACTCTGCTTTTTATTTGACTGAAAACTGCCAATTTTACAAACAAGCGGAGCAATATGTATTAAGTAGCCCTCTTATAAAAGTCATAAATTACATATATAGAAAAGAATTAGAAAATATTTTTCTACAATTTGATTTCGAAGCCATCAAAACTTTACAATTAGATGAGTTCTTAAAAAGTGACGAAAAAGTTTTGGTAATTATTACGGATGAAACTAATTTTTCTAGTATAAAACTAATACAGTATTTCGATTCAATACAAAAATCCAACGATTGCATATTCATAGATTTAGATTCTATGATTGCCCAGAAATCTTTAGAAACTCTCAAACACGACATAAAACTTTCAGCCAGTTCTGTGTTGGTGGTGACTAGTCAAGAGCAATCAGATATTGATCGTCTTCATGATAAAGTAAAACAAATTATAGAACTATTCAAAGGAAAAATTATACTAATAATGAGCAGTCGTTTAGAAAACGACTTGAAAATTATGTTTTATGATAAAAAAATCCAAAAAGATAATAAAAACACTTTCAAGAATCTATCAAGTGACATTCGCAAGATAATTCAGGACGAACGTAAAGTTACATTTCAGGGAGTAGAGGTAACTGTTAATAAAGTGTTTAATGATACGATTCTAGATAATTTGAGTCCAGAATTACTTCGTAAGTTGATGTGCAATAAGAATATAGAAATAGGAAAATCGTTAACTAATAGTGTATATCATAAAACAGTTGATTTCTATGCACACCGTTCTTTGTGTCGGTGCATAACGCTTAACATAGAAAAACACAAGGATGCATTTTTATATTTTAAACATGATTTAAATACAAACTCGACAGCAGTAGAAAGAGACGATATAATAATAACAACAGATACGGCAAGTGTATTCGATGAGATATGTACAAACAATACTAAAGCCAATGTACATTGGTTCCTAAGTAACAATTACCATGCACATATTGTTTGGAAACAATCACATGGCAGTATTGAGACAATAATGAAATACGTGGAAAAAGGTTCGCACAAAGATTTTACTTATGAGGTAAAGACATTGAAGGACATACAAGAGAAGGTGGTAATTGTTAACGCCGGGCCTGGCATGGGTAAGTCCACATTATTGAGCCACTTAGCGATCAATACGAAACGATTACACCCAAATATTTGGGTAGTAAACATAAATTTGCTCGACCATATTAATCTATTCAGCGAATGGAAAGACGCCAAAGTAAATGTAACTTTAGTAGAAGCCATCAAAATTGTATATACCTCGACGCTTAATATTAAGGAGAACTTAAGTGAAATATTTAAAAAGAACGTATTTGAATTGATAACAGTAAGTGGCAATGAAATATGCTTTTCTGATCATTATAAAAATATATATTTGCCTGGTGTAGATTTATCTGAAATTATTTTACTTAACCATTTTTACAATAATGATAGCTTAGCTGTTCTTTTAGATGGCTTTGACGAAATCAGTCCTGATTATTCAAACGAAGTAATACAGTTATTAATTACGCTCAAAAATTCCAGGGTAGCGCATTTGTGGATTACTTCCAGGCCATGCAATATGCTTAAACAATTAGAGTTGGCTCTTGGAACAATGTCTTTTAGTTTAAATTCATTGAAAATAAATGAACAAAAAATGATGTTACAAAATGTATGGTCTAAAATGTTGGGTGACACAGTAGATTATACGTCTGTAAGTTATTTTTATGACATAACTATCAAGACTAATTATCATGATGATGCTGGACAAAAGTTCGCAAGTCTGCCCTTGCATTTGTACATGATGGCAAAGGTATTTGAAAATTGCTTCAGGGGCTTTCTAAAGAAGATTATAAGTTTACGCGAGTTTAGAGATACTTCAAATTTAATTACTCTGTACGAAACGTTCACGAATATAAAATTTTTCGATATTAGATTTGGCGAGAAAAAACTTACTATGAATACTAAGGATCCTGATGTAAGAAAAATGATAGATAAAGAACGTAAATTGTTTATAAAAAATCATAAAATGACAGCTGCATATTTACTTCTAGATAAAAGTATTTTTCTCTCTGATAATGATATGACAGATGTACAGGAATTTATTGACAGCGTAAATGTTAGTGATGAAAAGTCAGAAATTATTGAATGCATTATCAGCAATAATCCTAAGTTCGTTCACTTCACTTTTGCTGAATACTTTGCTGTTGAACACTTTTTTGATAAATTAAGATCCGTTCACGCCACATCTTCTATGTGGAAATATTTTACAGAACAGTTGCTGATCAGCGACCGGTTTATGGGTATCCGAAGGTTCATAAACAGTAAATTACAGATAGACGCACATCTTTTGAAAGATTTACAGCGTACAGAAGTATATAACACAGAATTCCATAACGTAGTAGCTGAATTTGACATTAATTTACGTGTTGCACTTAACGAAAAATTAGATGAAATTGTAATTTTTATACTGAAATGTGCAAAACCTTTTTTACATAAACGTAATATATGTGACTTTTTAAAAATGCTCCGTAGTGACAGAGAGAGATATTGTGTCTTTTGTTCAGCCATCGGACGTGGTACAAGAATGTTAATACGCTGTTTAATAGATTTGGTCATAGACATCGACAAAAAAAAACTTAAGGAACTGGTTCATTGTCAATCTACTGGAGAATGTGTGCCCGTGTTTCTTAATTTGTCATTGACGGATACGATAACTGGGATATCACTTTTAGGAAATTATTTTCCCGACCTACTGTTTGAAGTATTGACCATGCCGATTAGAATACTAACAAAAAGGCCATCGCTAGCTCACTCGTTGGGTACAAACGGACATCAACTCAGATATATTTACGACTACTTGCAAGAAGAAAGTAACGACCGGCTTCTTCATATTTTAAGTGTTACAGACTTACACGGCCAAACACCACTACATTATGCGGCTTTAGAGAATGATTATGATTTTTTCATGAAAATGCATGAATTGTTAGAGGAAGAAAAATTTAGAGTCATTTGTACTACACCCGATAAATTAGGTTTTACTCCTATCTGTATGTTTTCTTACCATAAACCAAATTTTAATAAGCTTAAAACTTTGTTAGAAATAGTTTATCAGGATCCAGGGATAGAAGTAAAAGATTTCGTTTTTACTAAATTACTCAAACTATATCCAAAGGATATTTCACTATTTTCTGAATTGAACATTGACGTATCTGGATTCTTTAAAACGAAGAGGATCTTCACTAATCCTGGCCCCAAACATCCACCCAAAACACCGATCGGTCTGCTGGCAACATATTTAGGACATTAATTATAGATTCATAAATAAAATAATTAAATGTACATATAAATATGAAATATAATAATAAAATGATAAGACAGCTTGGTGCTATGATAATGTGATAATAATAGGTTTTACGATTTTCTTTTTAATTACATTTAAGAAATTTAAATTAATCTTAATTTAGGTTCATCTTTTATGTCAAAAGTGCATTATTTTATTGTATGTATTATAACCATGACCCAGTGTTGTAAATTGTTAAAAAATACACAAAATTAAATAAAAAAAAATGTGAGTGCAGAATCAAATCGGAAGATAATAACGTATAATAATGTATACTATTTAATATGACTCATAATAAATACTTATTGAATTTATATATAGCTTTTATTTAATCTTTTGGCACCAGAACAGCCCTGAAGGTTGCCCGAAAGATAATGATTTTAGGCTTTTGTCATATGATCGGTATATTGCGCAAGTTATACAGGTGTTATTGACGTTATACAAGCGTAACGAATACTGTAATAGTGTATTCAGACTATCACTCTGAGTCGAAAATCATTGAAATTTTCTGCCGGAAAATTCCTCATTTTTTTTTTCCATGTTTTTTTTTTTAAATGATGAACAATGATATCACAACGAGGAAACAGAACATTTTACCCGAAATAATTCAATAAATACCGCGTACGGTCAAAAACTGCAATGTAAGTAATCTAACTGCCGAAGCGCGCGGGGCTTCCCCCCCGTCCGCCATGTTGTGTTTGTGTGCGTAGACTGTTATATGAATACAAATATAGTTATTACTTTGGTGCTATATCTACATGGAAGGGGACTTTAACCTTTACGTTTAATTTTCCGACAATTTTAAATGATTTTTGACTCAGAATGATGTTCTGAATACACTATTTCAGTATTCGTTACGACGTCATTTACACCCTGTATAATAATATATCGATTTCTTTGTTACGATCTTTACGGGTAGTTGGAGCCCTGAAAAGTCTGATAACAGTCTTTTTACAGAACTTCGATTCGCCTAGTTCTTGGGTTGTGGAGGTCTGATGGCAGTAGCTCCGCATAAAAATCGAAGTTCAGCCGTATCGTAGTACCCTTAAAGCCTAATCTAGTTTGGGAAACAAAGCTCGGAGGAAGAGGTCAGGGACGCATACTTGTAACTTGAATTGGCTTGAACTTGAACTTTGAAGTCCAACTAACTAAAAATACAAATATCTTAGAAAAAAAACTTAGTTGTATTCTACAATACGCCGAGAAATGACTCAAGATCTTAATGGGACGAGGTTCTCAATGATTATTTTTAATGTTTGTTACCTCCTATCTCAGGCATTTATAAGCAGATTTAGAAAATTCATTTTTTATAGTCTACTAGCAGTACCGTGTCACGCTTTACTGTGGCACATTGTGGTTGCATTGATGATAAAGAAGGTTGTTCCTTGATGATAAAGAAAGCATTTAAACATGTTACAAATGCAGGTTAACTTGCCTTTATCAGCTCACGTTCTGCCTACACGAAATGAAAACTGTCTTATCTTTTTCAAACTAGACATTAATTCTGGACACCTTCATAACTGACCATGCTCTCATTCTGTTCAGCATTAAGCATCAATATTGATGACAATGACTTTAGTCCAGTTATGAATATCTGGGATGCAAATCTTGCTACTAAACGCCTCTACTACTATTGTTCTATTATATTTTTAAACAACACACCTGTTTTGTTCATATACCCCCAAAAACCAAATCAATCCGAGACTGCTTTGCTGCATTAAGAATAGGGATAACATGGCACGCACGCTAAAGAAACTGAAAACCACACTTTAAAAGTCACTTATAGGTATCGTAATTTCTGCAACAATTTATTTAAAAATGTTAAGCACGTTTATGAGAGTAATGAATTTTTAAAAGCCAACTCCAACGTTAAAGCAACATTATTATTATTATTATTAGGGTATTATGGACGAGCAGCAAACTTGCTGATGTGTCCACATCACTGCACTGGAGTAAGTTTGTGATGTAAGAGTTCCCATGTACATGATTAAACGGTTGTTTAGTCCAATGGGTTGTGCTTTTCTAACCATATATCTAGTTGGCACTTAAAACTGTTCACTGGCTTTACGGTCACAACATTTTCCGGAAGCTTGTTCCATATCGCAACAACACGATTGTTCAAGGTGTGATAGGCTACCAGCGACTGTGAGTGTGAGCGATCTATTGCGAAGCTGTGTCCCCGTGATGAGTACGCCTTGCGCTGGAGGAGGAACATATCCTTGATATTTGGAAGATTATATCTTGAGCTTAGTATTTTATAGGTTTCAATAAGATCGCCTCTCATCCTGCGATGTTTTAATGTCGGTAATTTTAACACTTTTAAGCGTTCCTCGTAAGTCTTATGTCGCAGTCCATACGGTATCCTAGTTGCTCGCCTTTGCACACTTTCCAGCAGGTCAACGTCCTTTACAAGGTAGGGATTCCAAATTTGAAAACCGTATTCTAACAGAGGCCTGACATAAGTTTTATAAATTTTGGTGAAAACTGAAGGTGTCATGTGTTGGAATGCACGTCGTATAGCATATAGGAAGGAATTTGCCTTTTTAACTATAATATTGATGTGGTCAGCCCATTTTAGGTTGCTGGTTATCATTACTCCAAGATCTTTTTGCGACTTGACAGATGCAACTATTGTGTCACCTATTGTGTATGGTACTTCAGGGTTGTTCTTACCCAGACGCAATACTGTACATTTGGATGCATTGAGCTTCGCAATCCACTCTTTGGTCCACTCTTGTAAATTGTCCAGATCTGATTGCAGTTGTCCTGACCTAATGACAGGATCACCAAAGAACTTTCCATCATCAGCGAAAAAGCATGACTCACACTCTATTAATGCTATTAAATCTGCAGTGAAAATGTTGAACAGGATAGGAGAGAGAACCGAGCCCCGGGGGACACCACTCAGGACCTTCATTGTCTCTGATAATGTGTCACCGACTCTGACTTGGTATGTTCTATTTGCAAGATAGTTTTCAAGCCATTTTAGGAGATTTCCACGCATACCAAAGTGCTCAAGTTTCAACAATAGTCGATTGTGAGGAACCTTATCAAAAGCACGTTCGAAATCCAAGTAAATGACGTCCATACTTCTTTTTTGATCAAGTTCCCTTGACTACGTGTTAACACATGTTAGTAGATTAGTTACCGTGGATCTCCCCTCAACAAAGCCATGTTGTTTCACAGAAATAATGTTCTGTCTGTTGAGGAATGACCTGATATGGTTTGATATGATCTTCTCCATACATTTACCTATAGCACTTGTGAGGCTTATAGGCCTAAACTTAGCCGGGTCAGTCTTATCACCGTTTTTGTATACAGGTGTCACTATGGCATGTTTCCAATCCCTGGGTAATCTATTGTTTGTAAAGGAGGTTCTCATTATTTCTGCCAATACAGGAGCAATCAGGTCTGCACTGTTTCTTAGTACTATATTTGGTATACTGTCTGGTCCTGGTGATGAGTTTACCTTAAGGTTCTTTAGTACTTTTGCAATTTCCTCTTCCTCAAATGGGATATCACATAGGGAGGCTTGAACGCGTGCGATGCCACTAATCTTAGGTATATTGTTTATAGGTGGTTCCTCAGAGTATGCTTTACTGAATTCCTTAGCAAATGTATTAGCAATATCCAGTGGACTAGTCACTAGGTTGCCAAGCGGGCTCCGCATAGCAGGTGGAATGCTAACCTTAGAGGATGTACACCTACGCAAGTATGAATAGAAGCATTTGTCTCCATGTTTAAGTATGTCTGCCTCATAGTAACTTCTATACTTTCTACACTCATTAACGCATTTGTTGCTAATGGTCCTATATTCCAAGTAGTCTTTTGTTGTTTTACTGGCAGAGTATACATCCCAAAGTTTGTGTTTTGTATGTGTTAGTTTTAATATGTGCGGTTTGATCCAAGGTTTATTTTTGTTTTTCTGCCTGACTGTCATTGGAGGGGCGTGTTTTTCTATGTTAGCATTCAGTATTGTTTTTACAATGTTCCAGAAATCTTCCACTTCTTCAGTTCTGACTATATTATTTAGGCCTTCGCAGAGGTCCTTGTTAAACTTATTGAAGTCAATCTTTTGATAGTATCGCTTCTGTTGCGGGTGGGAATCTGATGGGCAAGTGAGGCACTGCATTTGAAGGTGCAATACACAGTGATCGCTCTTGCCAATAGGTGGTAGATGGTTTATACTGGATATCATAGAACCATCGTTAGTCATAACAAGGTCCAGTAGTGATGGTATATTGTTCTGCCGAAATCTCGTGGGGCCGGATACTAGCTGATGGAGATTACTGTCAAGAAACATAGTCTGAAACAACTGTGATGCGTCACTCAGTCTTTGATCATGGTGTGAACACATAGGCCAGACGAGGTCCGGGTAGTTGAAGTCTCCCATGATAAGTATGGTGTTGGTTTCAGAAGCATGTGATATATTATCAAGTAAGACTTTGTCGTCTTCTGCCCAGTTAATATTAGTATCAGCACGGTAGACTCCAACTAGTACAAAATGGTAATGCACAAATTGTATATCAAGGTATAGCGCCTCCACCATGTCAGCCATATACCGGTTATTCTTGCGTGCAATTATTGGGATGCCCTTAACATTGCTTCTGACATAAATTGCTACACCACCGCCCCTTGATTTTCCACCTTCGGCCCTTGGCCGCTTTCTGCGGTCTTTTCTAAAGAGAGTGTAGTTTGGTATTGCATAGGTACTGTTCCTGTCATTATTATTAAGCCATGTTTCTGTAACAATTATGAATGTGGGTTTTTGTGCGTTTATGTCAAGAAGGAATAAGTCGAATTTAGCGGGTAGTGAGCATAAGTTGGTATAATAAAATGTAAGGTTGGTGTATGGAGTGTTACTACTTATTAGTTTTTTGTCTTGATAATCTTTGGCATTCCGCTAACATATTTTATAGTGATATCTATCTCACCTTTATCCATTCTTTCTTTTAGGCTCTGGCGGA